ATCGTTGCCATCACCCAGAGTGAACTCTTCTCGGATGACACCGTATTGTCTTCCACGTTTCCCAACGAAGATCTGCTTGACTCGATCTCTGGGAACTCTGACCATACCAAAGTGCGACAGCGCTTTCATGAGGATCTCACCGTGCTCGCAACCTTTGTTGCCCACCATCGATTTGGTGATGTCCTTGAGGAACTGCACGAAGTCCTTCTGAGAGTCTGTCACTGGATTGCCTGATTCCAACATGATGTTGAAGAATGCACGGGACCGCGCCGCCGTTTTCACGATCGTCTTCCTCTGGTATTCTGGCGGCCAAAGTTGGTAATCCCTCATCGTCTCGCTTGCTCGGCAAGCGATGCATTCTTTTCCATAGTTGAAGTCTTGCCTCATTTGATCAGTCGGCATAACTTCATCATCATCCCCAAGATAATGTCCTTGACATAGGATCATCTCATCTCGCCCATGGTTAACGTAGAACCACATGTCGTACATGTTTGCCGATGGCTCAGGAAGAACCGATCTGACCGTGGCCTCGATCCATGGTGCCTTCTCATACTCGACGTTTGATCTTCTTCCACCTCCAACGGTACCTGGGCGTGTTGATTCCGTGCTCACGGTGTCAGGTACTCCGCCTCCTGTTCCAATTTGAATTGAAAGAGGTTCTTTGAGCACATCCTCCATCAGCTCCAGGTTGATGCCGACCTTCATGGAAGATTCCCTCACCATGTCATTCAATCCCTTCGCAGCTTCGACGTTGAGGGAACACATCAACAACACCCTCTGTCGAAACAAGAACTTCTCCATGGTGGCGAAGACTCCCAATCTTTCCGGCCTATTTTGATTGTTCATATAGTGATTGCCGGCATGACCATACATCAATCGCCACATCCCATCATCAGTTGTAACCATGATTCCGAAGCTTCTCAGGATGTCGGCCGAGTCGATGGCGACTTCCTGAATGCCCGTTCGGATGCCATGAAATCTTGGATCTTTGCAGAGTGATACAAAGATTGGTCTCGTCGCCAACTTGTCGACCCTTCGGATCGCTTCGGCGAGCCTCTCTGCATAGTTCCTCTCAACCCAAACGTGGTATGGATGAGTGTCCGTGATGAGGAATGCAAATGATATCCAGAAATGGATGGTCACATTCTCCTCGGCCGTAATGTTTGGCATCACGCTCTTGATCAAGTGCTCGACTGCATCGAGGAACTTCTGGGCTCTGGTCACGCTCTTGAAGCTGTTGATGTCAACGACCGTGACGACATATCCCATCTCATCGAGCCCGTACTGGATGTTCGTTGTTCCCCCCGAGTTCGCTTGGCACTTGTAGTTGAGATCCGTGATCAAAATGGTCTTGCCAAACCTGAACTTTCCTGCCAATTCATCTTTCTCCTTTCTCACCATTGGCTTATCCACGATGGTCCCACCGATGCCTGACATCAGGCCTCGCTTCCACTTGTCGTAGCTGCGATCGGTGGCCCGTGCATCATCATTCTTCTCCACCATGACCGTCATGGACCCAACAGAGAGGTAATAGTTCTGGTAGACCAACCCCCCACGCTTTGTTGCAGCGTTGTAGATCCTCAGCCACTCCATGTCGCTGTATGGATAGGATGCTTCACCAATCTCTCTTGCAATGGCGAGTCCAAAGCATAAGCAGGTGTAGGTAGCTACCCTCCTGAGATATTGACGCCAAGTTGATTGCACATTGTGCGCCATTGGTCCTTGGACATGCGACAAGGCAAACTCGGTGTCAGTAGTGCCCACATGGGAATTCAAGATTGATCTCACCTGAGTTCCCGTGTAGTCCGTCAACACTCTGCAATAGGTGATCACGTTTGACGGTGTCATTGGTGGGACGTAGTCCGCTGCTGGAGTCTCACGCCTTGGCATTGGTTTCGCCGCAGGCTTGGGTGCCGCCTGTGGCGGTGGTGGTCCAGCTGAACTTGATGCTTGAGATCCCGATGCACTCGGTCCTGGTGGTGCCGATGGTGATGTCGGCCTTGCCTTCGGCGGTGGTGGTTGAGCCGATGGGTAAGGCTGTGGTGGTGCTTTGTATCCAGGTGGTGGCGTAGGAGGTGGCTTCGGCGTGAACCTGTTGACCCTTGGTGCAGGCACTGCTGGGTCCTGGATCGTGACCCATTCAGGAATCCACGACCTCGGCGGTTCTGGCGGCCAAACTCCGTCACCAAACCTCAAGACTTTTCTCCATCCACTTGCAGCCACTTGTACCCCAGGTTGTCCTCCACCAGCCTGAGTCTCAGAGAGGGTTGTCATAAAATCCCTCAAGGCAGAAAAGCATTTGTTTCTTTTCTTGATCTCACCGTGGTTGCCCTCCTCAACGTTGATGACATTGTAGCCATGGTTCTGCAAGATTTCCGAAGTGAGCATCAGAGATTGTTGAATCTTGGCGAAGTAGTCGTCAATCTTCCTGACGTTCGCCCTTGCAATCTCGGAAAAGTGCCACAACCTATCCAGCTTCGCCCTGGCCCTGAAGATCGGTGGCGATAGAGCCAAAATGCAGGTGAAATGATTCACCGCGGCAGCTCGTTCGCGGCCCAACTTGGTATTCTGCTCGATGAGGTCGTTGATCGTTGTCTCCAACGTCATAGGATCCACCATTTCTCCCTCATCGTCGACCTTTTGGTTGTAGCATCTCCAAGCGTGCCCAAGATGGATGACTTGACGTTGCCACTCATCGAGCATCGCATTAAATGTGTTCTGGGTTGATGTCGACTGCCAGGACGTGCCCATGTCGAAGTAGTGGAGCTCTCGATGAATCGCTCTGAACGAGATGGTGATGGGCGCATCAGGGACAGACGGATTGAGAACTCCGTCCTTCTTCCTTGTAGCGCTCAGCCAGGTGTCCTCTGCCGGAACAGATTGGTTCACACCTCGTAGGTCACCTCCGAAAGGTCGAAGCTTGAATTCACGAAGGTGATCACGTAGCATCGATACTGTAAATGCTCCATCGGTTCGGATCGGGTGAGGTACGTGGAAGTTCTTAATGCACTCCCACATGTTTCCCAATCCATTGATGCATTCCGATGTGCAAAACCCAAGAACTTTGTGATTGCTCCGAGATGCCAGTTGAACAAAGGTCTTCATGTAGATGGCGCACTTGTCCAAGAATCTTTTAGCTCAGCTCCAGTGTTGAGCTCCTCCTGGTTCTTGATCAGTTCCAGGAGCTGGAGGTACAGTGTGATCGCCTCCACCTCGGACCGATTCGATGGCACCTTCCCCAAGTAGCAGGCTGAAGCCGCCGCGATCGGACTAATTCCAATCGCATGCCACTTGTTGACCGTCACGTCAGGCTGGCTGTTGATGGTCGGGTCATACTCTTTGTACATGGCTGGGATGACACCTTGTCTGCCACTCTCTCAACGTGATGAGGATCTTGCCGATGTCGTTGAGATCATGTTGCGCAGAACCAATGATCTGCGAGTAGTTCGACATGGCAACCTTACCGGTCGGTTCACTTACTCCTGGTCGGCGACGTCCGATCCAGTTTCGGTTCCCCTGTCCGGAGGTGCACAGCGAGTGAGCCCTTTCAAGATCACGTACTCCCGGTCGGCGACGTCCGATCCGGTTTCCGATCACTCGTCCGGTAGCACACAATGAGTGAGAAGCCGCAATAGTCTTGAAGGATTGACTTCCCATAGTTGAATGTCCTGAGAAATCAGGGTCAACATTGATCCGACATCTGTTCTTGTGAAACATCATCAACCACATGAGATCTGCCGCGACTTCATCATTGTTGTATGCAACTGATACCGCTGTCTTCTTGATGGAACGTCTATCGTGCATGCAACTGCTGCATGTGTCATCTTCACTTGACCACGACTTCTTGAACCGAATAGACACATTCCGACATATCGTTTTCAAGATGATGTCGACGATCTGCTGGGTGTAGGTCTGAGTGACCTTTGTTTCACGACCTTCACACTTCCCATGATCATGTCTTCGGTCACATTTCTTGTGTAAATCAAATTCAACCCCCCACGATACAATCCTCCATGGCTTCTTAATAGGAATATGACGATCATCAAACTGTGTCTTCAGACCATACATGCATCCATCAAAGTCATGGACATGTGATTCTGTACCTTCAATCATGCACTTCATCCGTTCATCATGCCAATAATCGCAACCTCTTGGTAACTCCAATAGTGCCATGGCATCCAACTTGATCACTTTCAGAAGACAATTTGAAAACTCTTCCCATAATTTCCAGTATAGACGTGTTTTGGCGTTGATCAAATGAGCAGTAAGCCAACTTACTCTTTTGTTCAGCCTGTTCCATGGAGATCCGCCTGTGCAAGGTCCAGCGAAGAAGACGCAATCCTTGTTGCTGCGGAGGCATCTCCTCCACTTCGCACTCCCATATCTGGAGAGAAGGTCATCATCCTCTGTGATCAGTTCCAGATGAATAGATGTATCCATAATTGCACTGTATCTCTTTGTCATCAAACTTGAAGGCTCAGCACACATCAATATCATAGCGGGTGTACTTTCGGGCAACTCTTGCAATGTAATAGTGACGTTCTTCCCCAAATATTTTGTACTCTCGAGATCGGGAATAGATCTGACGAACGTATACTTCAAGCATTGCCCATTGTCACGAACCAATAATAAATTGATCATACTGTCCGCAAATATGTTCAACCAATTGTCATTCTTGTTCTCTTCGATCATCATCCGATATGTGTGGGGAATAAATATTTTGTTCGGTGAAATGATGTCCAGACCCATGGCGTGAACACAAGCCATCAGATTATCATCCATAACGCAACTCGCAATCGGAAGAACCTCCTGATGTCTCAACACGCGAAAGATAGACTTTCCAGTCCAGAACTCATTTCGATTGTTTGACCTTTCTCCATTATCACCAGGGAGACGCCAATTACTTTTGTCCACCCTCACATTCGACTGGAACTTCAATTGAGTTTCTCTCCAATCTTGAATCAAACGATGATCACAGGGACAATCTTCACAATCACTTGGAACGAACATTTCTCTTCTTGGTATATTGTGGATCCTTTCCAGAACATGATCACCTATCCATCTCCATTCACCACGAACAGGAACTTCATCATGACCACATTCAGTTGCCGATGCTACTTTCTTGGTGTTTCTTCTCCGTATATGCGATTTTGCTGACTGTAAACTCTTTGTTTTGGAACTTGGCGACTTTGAATCCTCCATGCCTCTCCCCCCATGAACAAGGCGTACTAGGGCATTGATCACCCTTATAGTCATGGGATGTCCGTCATGTAACGTAAACGGAATCTTCTGAGTACGTTGAGCTTGTTCAAAGAGTATTTCAGTACTGAATGTGAGGCTCGGATGATTGTCCAGTTCAAACGTCGCCGCACGTGAGAACTGTTCTCTGGCCGCCGTCGACGCACATGCGGGCAGTGAGACAATCGGAGCGGAAGTGGGATAATGATATTGAAAACATGCCCTTTCAATCCATTTGTCAAAACGTGATTGTTGTAACAATGGTGGAACACGATCCTCAACTCTTTCCCACTTCCCGTGGACTAAGATCCAGGTGCTCCGAAGGCAATCTGCAGGAAGTTTGACACCAGCTGGTCTTGTTCTGAATAATGTAGGGGTTTTGACCACAAAGATGGGATCCATACCAGGTAGCTCTTGAAGCTTTTCTCGACTTGAAAGACCCTTACGGTACACCTCAGGTGGCAGTATGGGTGTTTCAGTGTATGGAAAATTGGGAACCTCATCTGTCCTTGACTGAAAAACTTGACGAACTGTAGTGTCAACATCCGTAGTGGGCTGCACTAGGTCTGCCAATTGCTTCGAACCAAGGTCTTCGGGTTCCAACAGATTGATCAACATACATGCCTTTTTCCAGGCAAGTGGGTTTGTAAAACCTTTTGTGTGGATGTCCGCGGCCATCTTCGCTGTGATCTCATACATGAGAACAAAGTGATCTTTGCTGAAGTGCTCATGTAATGACGTGATAGAAATTCCATGAGTCCTTTCCAAATGCCGCATTGTTGGATTTCTTCCAGAACGGACCACACCAATCATCCCTTGGTTGTCATCATGAAACAACAGCTTGGGAGAAGATTCTGTAAGCGTTTCCCAAATACTGAGTGCAGGAAGACCCATTGTTCGAAGGGTTACATCAGCGGCTACGATCTCAGCTTCGGGTGTAGAATGGCTCACACACCCCTGGCGTTTGCTTCCACCAGCTAACGGAAACCGAGTACGTTTCCCCTGAATATGCATATGAGAACCTGATGTGGACCTCAAAGATTGTGCACATCCCGCAAAGTCAGCATCTGCATATAACGCAATGGATAGATCTTTCATGTCATTGCCGACCCATCCAATCATTCTCTTCCCTAAGGTAGAGTTGACATAGCACATAAGATGGTATAGTTTTGCATCATCTTGTATGGACCATTTTGTCACATTGCGTGCTAGTGTATTGATCGATCTCAACAAATCAAATCGGGCGATCCTTGCTGCATATAGAAGCTTCATCAAGATGCTAGCAGCATGAGGGGCAAGTGCACCTCGTTGGACTTCAACAGATTCCGGCCGAGAATCGGAGGCACCGGGCTGTAAGGCAACCGGCGATCCAGGATCAAATTTTGTAGAACACCAAGGACATTGAACTGCATGCTTAGGGTCCCCAGGTGCTGGTGCTCGAGACTTATGTTGTTTTGTCTCTTCGGGGAGACTAGGCGTTGAGACCTGTTTTAATTTGGTATCCTTCCCAACAAGTTCAAGATACCTTTCAACAGAGAGCTTTAAAAGACCCTCCATATTGTAGGTCATAGTTGTGACCTCTGTGCCATCATAAAGGCGATTGGTTCCTTTGCTTAGCAAATAACCAAGATAAAGACCCAGATCAGTTTCTGGTTCTATGCGCAGCTTAGACCTTAACATTTCCCAACCTTTGGTGAGGTTCTGCGCTGGTCCAGCTAACTTTAGATCATCCACATAGATGACTAACAAAAGTTTAAGTTCCTTATGGAAATACATTGATGGCCATTCCTCCCCTACTGGCATAAGACCAGCTTCACGGACATGTTTGTCACAATGTTGTTCCCACATTGTGCCCGCATCAGGGTGACCATAAAGTGCTTTGACAAGTCGCACTACCGGTCTTCTGAACTTCCGGATGTCAACGTCGTCCGGCCATGCATCTTCAGGGAGTTCGACCCAACAAGGAGGTCCTGTAAGCCTCGCTTGAATATAGGCTTGTATAGCATCTGCTAACTTCACATTGTGACCGGGGATGCATCCATAGAAATCTGCCCATCGCGAGGCTTCAAATGTCGCTGGAGAATTGCCAAGGTCCTGAAAGAACGCGGCTTCCCAGTGTTGATTCTTAACTTGATTGCCAAGTAAGACGCCTCTTCCTTTGAACTTGCGTCCAGGGCTCCCCTTTGGTAGCTGGTAGTTCTTCTCGACACAAATGCCGTGAACTCGTGCCATGTGGACTTCTTTCTTCTCACGTTTTGCCTCTGCAACAACTTCATCGTATTCACGAATAACGGAGAAGTCATACACTCCCTGCTTATGTTGTCCCAACCACTCATTCCTCATAGAAGCCTTGGCGTCCGGGTCTTCCATCATCTCTTTACGACCAACAGGACGTGAGACCATCGCATTGAACAACTTCCCAAACCTCACATCAGTTTGACCGAACTTCTCACGATGTTCAAGGTCTTGATGAACACAAGGCATACAAGGAACTGAACACACGAAGTGGTTGACCTTGGACTTGCCGTTGGAGTCTGTTGAGGTAGGAGTCGCTGGTGCAACATGAGCAGGTGCTGTGACTTTCCCGGTATTGAAGTCATAGTGAACATCTTTCCATTGAGCTCTTGGTCCAATTCCAACTTCATGTTCGGACCATTCGTCCCATTCATTCAAGAACTCTTGACCATCATCATCACTTGGGACATTTGTGCTCGTTTCACTTGGTGCTGACGGAGATGTGGCATCACGCTTCTTGATGTCGTCGAGGTCACTCGCTCCATGGGGTGTCGGCGAACATTCCCATGGGTTGCGACCTCGGTTGTGGATCGGTCTCGTCATCGGATCGTGGGGCGTAGATATACGTTCCCACTCTCCTCGGAGCGTCCCCACATTGACAGCAGCGTCCTTTCCACCATCTTTGCCTGAGCTCTCCTTTGACTTCTTATTATCCTTTTTCTTCTTCTTCCGACTTTCATCTTTGGCTGGATCTTTGGAGGAACTTGAATCATGTTTCTTCTTCTCGGAGATTTCGGCCTTGGCCTTCTTTTCTTTCTCCTTCTTCAACTTGATCTCCTTGAGCTTCTCAGCTTCTTCTTCAAGTTTTCCACGACGAATGATGACGTCTCTCTCCTTAGCAGATAGTGCTCTCCATTCTTCAGGACTGTAACTGCTCTTTGGCCTTGGTGACCCTCGTACTTCTTTGCGACCATCTGGACCAACACGGTAAGGTCGTCCACGCTTGTCGAGCTTGACGTGCTCGCCGATGTCGCTGAGGTAGATGATGCCGTCACCAGGTTTGCCCATAGAGTGATGTTCAGGCCCATCATAAGGAGGTTCACCATCAGGAGGAGGTAGAGGAGGACCATCAACAACTTCTACATCATCAGCTTTCTCTTTGTCGAGTTTGATGTCCATTTCCTCCATCATGCGATGAAACTCTTCTTCTTGATGTTCAACTCGATTGGTGATCTTACTCTTCTTGGGTTTGTCGTCATCATCGCCTTCATCATCGTCGTCTCCGTCATCATCATCATCGTCTTGTTGATCTTCAAGAAAGTCTGGTGATCCCTCAAGACGATCTTTCACTGCTAACCCTTCCAATGTGGTGTTCACCTTCTCATAGATGTCCTTGCATGGGAACGTCAATGGCAAGTGCACTTCGATCTTCTCAGTGAGATGTGGATGGCGTAGCTTGTCAATGATTGTCTTAGCATTGAACGAGTAGTTCTGCTTCGTCATATCAGACAATGCCCATGCCATATATTGCCTTCGCCAATTGACGCCTGGAGCTATTTCATAGCCAGCAAAGATACCAGGGATACCCTTGGGATCAAACTTGTGAGCTTGTTCATTGGCTCTGGCTCCACTCGGTTTGAAGTAAACCATGCACCAAATGGGATCTTGTCGCCCTTGAACTCGGCGCCATGGAGTTTACACCAAGCACTCACATCATCTTCACCAGGCTCCACATTGAGTACATGACATACACATCGTATGGCAAACTTCCAGAAACACGCTGGTAGTCCAGCCTCGAGCAAGCATGTGGTAGTAGTTGCAATGACGAACTGGTTGTTGCGCTCGGCAAGAGAATTCGTCGAAGGTCTTCCCGGCAGAGCATGGTCGAAGGGAATCTTGAGAGCCTCCATGCCCTTGACAAACTGTCTGGCTTTGTCGGAGTAGGCTTCCCTGATTGTTCGTCTTCCCATGAAGGGCTTGACCGCTCTCACAACATCTTCTGTGTTCTTGGTTGGAGAAGGGTAACTCTGAATGATGCCGGTATACCTGTCTCGAATGACAAGAATCTCCTTGACCGTGTCATAGCCCAACTTGGTCGTCTTGCGAGTATCCATGAAGTCGAAGGTGATGAGGTCGCCGAACTTTGTAAGCTTTCGGCGGAATGCACCTCTGTAGGTCTTATGATGTTTCATCTTGGCCCTAACACAAGAGTTGCAGTATGGGTTCTTGTATCGATGTGTCAGAAGATGTTCAAGAGTACGAGCTTCATGTTTCAACGTACCTCTCTTTGACAGACGTACTCCTCCATCAGGATCATCAACATCGATATCATCCTCATCATCTTCTTCTTCAGGTGGTCCATGTTCAACACCAATTCCATCTTCATCGGATTGATCGACTTCTGGAGCATCATCAGCTGCTGGTACTCGATCGTCATCATCTTCTTTATCTTCATCCGCACCAGGAACTTCATCGACATGTACTTCATCATCATCTGGATCTCCCTCGCGGATGGACTGTTCATAGTCATCATCATCATCGAGTTCTTCACCAGCTGCTACCGGAGTCGTCTTTCGTTTGGAACGCTTCTTCTTTTTCGTCTTCTTCAGAGACTTTGTTGGACCGTCGACGTACGTACCAACTCCATCATCTGATTCGGACATTTCATCACCGCTTTCACCATCAAGATAGATCGTCCTTGATGCATGATTGTTGCCATTGAGACCCAACACTTTCATCACTAACTCGGCCTCGTAGTCTGACGATGGCCTGTAGTCTTTGGCTCCAAGGTAGACATATGGGATGAGATCATGAACTTCCATCTTGATCTTGCCACCCTCGGAGTTGATCATGTAGGGTTCTCTTCCGCTAGGCCATACAAAGGTGTAGCCTTGCTCCATGCATCGTTTTCCCAATGACAAAACAGATGGGGTATCTTCCAACACATGAGCCCTTGCAGGATCATTGGACGTGTCGAAGTCCAAATCCACCATCGTAGTTGTTGACGTGATGCCATTTGCAGTGTGGAAGTTAACTCGATCACTCTGGTAGGTGTCGATGTCCATCCTATCCACTCTCGTAGATGAGATAAGATCGTGACCACTGCCAGAGTCCATGATGAAACGTCGGTCCTTGAGCTCGATCGGCATAGTGATGCACATGACGTTGTCACGACGACCATATTGTCCTGGAACATGAGGAATCACTTCCTCATAGCATATCTCAGCTCGTGAGTTGCTCTCCAAGAAATCAATGTTGTTGATTTTGAGCTTGATATCATTCTTGGGTCCCAGGATGATGTGTACTTCATCGACATCAGAAAATTCACCATAGTCGTCCATCAGTATGCCAATTGCCCGTGCTCTTGTCATTCCCAACTTGGATTGTAGTACCCATTGTTGGTCATCCATGATCTCTTTAGTTGTTCTGCACGTCAATGACTTCTTCTGAGCTCTGGACATGTTTCTCTTTGGCTTCCTGTTGGAACATTCCACAAAATCGGGCTTCACATACACGATGGTTTCCACCTTGTCATTGAACTTGACATCCATCTTGTTCTTCTTCTCGATAGGCACTGCGTTCACGATGAAATCGTCATCGTACTCACGGACTAATGCCGGAGTAGCTTTGGCGTCGGGCGTCTTTGTAGAAGGCGCCGCTCTCTTGCCCTTCATGCTTGGGTCATGCTTGAAGGTACATTTGTCACCTTTCTGACAATCGCCCTTTAACCAACCATAGCAATGTCGATCGTTCTTTCCACCAGGAGTCTGCGATCTTCTTGGAGTAGCCGATCTGCTGTTCTTGCCTTTTCCACCTTTTCCACCTTTGTCCTTCCTCTTGTCCCAATGATATTGGGAGTGACTATATTGGCATTTGTCACCATGCTTGCAATTGCCCTTGTTGAAGTGGAAGTGACAAAAGGTCTTTGAAGTATCTCGTGTGGAAGGTGATCTCGATCGTTTGCCACCCTTGCCTTTCCCCTTGCCATGGCTCTTGGGATTGCCGGAAGGTAGAACAGGAGCTCCAGGTTTGCCCTTGGGTGCTGGAGCACTCGGTTTTCCACCCTTCCCATCTTTCGGCGTAGGCGCCGGAGCCGTCGGCTTCGGAGCTGGGGTAGAAGGCTTACCCAGGTTGGTGTAGTCCGTGGCAAACTTGTCCCTGGCCGCGATATTGCGATCTTCGCGTGCACGAGCTATGTGCCGTCTCATTATCTCCAAGAGTTCACTGTACGATTTCTTCTTGTCATCATTGTCTCTTCCCTTGAAGATCGTGAGGTCGACGTGCAATGCCTGGGAACCATCAATCTTCCTCAGCAGATGATCACGCAGTGTGTTGTCAGATGGAATGTCCTCAGCTTTCATGTTGGCGATGATCTCAATCCAGGCATGGAGGAACTTATCCATCTCTTTGTCACCACGATACTGCAACTTGTAGATGTGGCTGGCATTGAACAATACCTCATCCTTCGAAGTTGTTCTGAAATGATCTAAAACCATTGCCAATATCTCTCTGCCCATCAGGAAATTCCCTTCTTTTCCCAAAACTTGACTCCTCTGTCTGATCCGAACCTTGACCTCTGATGCCGTCTCTCCAGCGGAGTCTACCATGTTCTGCAAGGCAATGGACAACTTGGAGTCAATGGATTGGAAACGGAATTCTCCTGAATCAGCGAGTTCGGCATAGTCAGGACTGGGTAATAGAGCAGGAGATAGCCATCTTCTCCATGCAGCCGTGTCTGGATCACCTGATGCAACACATACGGCTTGCACGACGTTGGAACGCCAAACATCAAGATCTTGGCATTTTGGCCATGGTTTGACAGTGACTTTCTCGTGCTCCTTCCTGGATATTCTAGTTACCCAATCTTTGCCATCTTGACCAGCATCACTGTTTGCAACACTAGCATCTTTGCCATCTTTCCGTTCCCAAAGTCCAGGAGGATTATCAGGAACGGGCTCGAATTCAGGGGCTTTGCTGTCTTTCAAAGATTCTTGCCCTTCTTCGGCTTGTTCCAGCCAACTTTGGTACTCTTTCATCTCGTCATAGTTCTGTTGAGCCTGTTCTTCAGATCGACGAAGCTTCTCACGAAGGTCATCGATCTCGCTGTTGGTCTGGTTCTTGATGGCATTGCTCATGCTAGGTGATGGTGGTGGTGGTAGAGCAGGATCATGATTCTTCATAGTAGAGGATGCCTTAGGTGTGCCCATAGGTGTTGAAATCGATACTGCAAATGATGGAGTCTTGCCAGCAAGCACAGTCGTTCTCGGGACTAGGGTTGCAGGAGGCGCCGCCGATGGCGAAGCTGGTACTGTGGCTCTGGTCGATACTCTGCTCCATGACGCTGGTACCGCACTCATTGTCAGTCTTGCATCCTTGAGTGATTGTTTCAATGAGTCATTCTTTCTGATCACATGGTCACGTTCAGAGCATGCCGACTGATAGAGCTTCTTGTACCTGTCTGCCTCTGCCTCTTCGGCGTCGATGAGTGCCTCAGTAAGTTTCGGGTTGCTTTCAACTGTTTCTTGAAGTCGACTGATTCCATGTTGGCTTTGCGAAGTTCTTCACGTAGTTCTTCATTCACCTTAGCATTGTCTTCATCGCCACCAGCATGGAATCGAGATCCAAGAAGTTCAGCAACTCGTGTTCTTAGCTGATTGGTGGACTCAATCAAAGCCATGTTTTCATCCATGAGTTCATCCTTGACGCGCTCGATGGTGATCTCCCTGTCCTTGAACGCACTGAGTTCGTCATGCTTGAACTGGCGGAACTCGTTCTTCTCATCAATGAACCGATTTGTATACCATTCTCGGGTGGCACTCTCGTTCTCATTGATTTTCATGAGGCTTCTGATCTCCACCTCGAGCTCGTTGTGCTTCCGGTTGTACTCTTCCTCTCTCTCCTGAATCATGTTCTTCATGTCACGAACCTTCAAGATGTGATCACGGTTCGCATCATCACTGATAGCAATGAGGTTGTCCTTATGCGATAAACTAGCAGTCAGTTCATCAATAGTTGATTGCATCTCTACCAATTGTTCATCACGTACCGCAACAGCTTGTTGGCCATATTCCATGATCATCTCATTGTTGTCAGCCATCATATGCGATTGCTCTGATAGTTTCAGTTTCAACTGTTCCATTTCTTCCTTGCTCGCATTCTCCCTGTCTTGGACATACTGTGTACATGCTTCACGCAGTTGTAGCCCATCTTGACGAAAGCGGACAGTCATAGCTTCAGATGTGTCATGTTGTTGACGAATGAGTTGTGATGCGTTCTCTAATTCAGTGAGATATTTTCCCCTCATCTCCATACTTTCCCGAACAATGTGTGCTGCACCTGCTTCAGCGAGTTGGCCACGCTTCTCCAGCTCGATGATCCTCATTGTTGAACCTTCGTCCAGGAGATGCGCCTCAGCCAGTGCGATCGTCTGCTCTTCAAGTACATGGTGTGCATCGATGAGGGAAACTCTCATGAATTCCATCTCGGAGTTGACATGTTCTTGATATTCTTCATGATGTTGATGTGAATAGATCTCCATGTTGTTAATCATCTGATCACGGTGTGCAAGAACATCCTGATAAAGACTTAGCTGTTTTCCAGTTCAGTCCTTGCCCGTTCGCTCCTCTCCAGCTTCTCGGTATTGTGTTGTAGTTGACGTCGAAGACGTGCCTCGCTCTCATTCCTCGTAGCGCTGGTCGATGGCTTGCGTTTGGATGAGGTGGTAGATTTACCTGCCTCATCCTCCCGCGTGGCCGCGCCCGACGGGCTTCGGCCACCGCCGTCTTCTGCAATGCGAGATCTTGCAGCGCGAGGTGATCTTGCCGATGTTGCTCTTCTGGCACTTCCTCCTCGAACTACTTCAGCTTGATTGACCACTGTGAAGCTGCTTGTTGATGCTACACTTCCAGCTGCACGGTAAGACATCGTGCCGCCGCCGCCGCTCTCTTGGGATCCAGGCGTGTCATTGATCGCCTGGGCCGGAGCAGCATTCGCTCCGAAGGAAAAGCTTGTGTCGTTGCTGCTCGACTGGTTCTTCTGCGACATCTTCTTGTTGTCAGTCTGCCTCCGTTTGCTTCAAGACCAATGACTTGTAGTAGGGCAGGAAGACCGGGATGTCGAAGATGTTGAAGGTAATGTGGGACCACCGTACGCCCAGAGTGAGCGTACGGCTGATAACCTGTGAATCACCTCGACCTGGTCGATGTACGTGTAGCCCTTATTGGATTAGTTGAAGTCCTCAACGTTGAAATGCGGCAGCGCACATGTTCCTTTTCTCTGCGGCGAGTGGCGTCTTGAGCCAACCGGCGGGGTGAGCGATGCTGGACAAAAGGATCTTACTGACTGTTCACTCTGATCTGCACTACAATCACAATAATAATATCAATAATATTCAATATATAGATCAACATATGTTGATTGATGCACACTTCTGGTAAACAGGATAGACAGAGAACACAAACACATCGAGCTTTGGAGGTTTCCCCATATTGAGATGGGGAAAAGTGCACCCTGGCAATGCTGGCGTTTCCCCTTAGTGCCAGGCGTTTCTCATCTTTACATCATTCCTGAGCTTTGACAAGGAGAAAAACATGGGGGTTGGTTGTTGTTTGAAGCAGAAAACATGACTTTTTTTCCATGAAATCTGTTGGGCTTTCATGTTAGCTCTCTTTGAAATCCATTGAATGAAGAGATGTTGGAGGGTTCAATATTAACCCGGTAATATTGTTGTGGTTCACATTGATTTATCTAGGAACACATGCCGGAAACCCTGGGATTTACCCTCTGGTAAACTAACAGTTTGCTATGGAAAATGGCCATAGAACTAGTTGATGACTACCCATTAATAGCATGGTGATTTTCCATAGTTATGTTAGTCATTACCAGAGGGTACCACTAAGTACACAGGTTTCTGATGTTCCAGAAATGCTGATCTCATGACAAACACCATCCAGAGGTGCTTAACGCCAGGTCTGACACCTCCAGCGGACATCAAAACGGTGAACCGAAGAAAACGACACTCTAAGGACAGATTGCGAAAACGTCAGTTAGCCCAGTTATCGCACTAACATAGTGATAAACTGAATCTTTTCGATCGTTCCCGGGGCTTGCTATAATGGCATATACCACCCCCACGCCACTTCCTTTTTGTCGAGTCACGGCATGGTTTGATTCCAGGTGATCAGCAGAAAACTCAGCCTGCAGGCCAAGCGAACAATATCGAAGGCTGGTTGTTGCCCAATCTGCATATTATATATATATATTTACTATGCGGATGTTTATATAGGTACATTCTGCTATTAATCACTACTATCATTCTGCTATTGAATAGAATTCATCACACACACAAATATGATCAAGACCATGACATATAATATATCATATGAACCCAATAAGACACAAAAATGGACGGTACACATAAAAATCATGGGATCCAATATTATATTAACCATCACACATCCACTTAAACATCACCCCAATAAGGCCTCCATTTCCCTCCCCGAAAGATCCTTGGGCCGCCGCACCATCCACCAATCAAACCACACAGACATCCCGACCTTCGATCGGTGAGTTCTTTGTGATTTGACCACAGTTTTGGGAGATTTTGGGCATGATCTAACATCAAGTGTTAAATATTTTTTGGGAGATCAACTGAATTTATCATTTCCAAACATGAAATTGGTCGTACATATATATATATATATATATCACAGTTTTTGGAAACATCAAAGTTTTTTTGTGATTTGTTTACAACCAATTTCTTGTGGGAAAACTGCTTGTGGATGCTCGTGGGAGCTACTCAGGGTCCCTGCAAGTCAGGTCACACAACACTTTTTCTGCATTATGCAGAGGGGTTAGCCATCAACCCCTATGATTGGGAAATCTGAGAAATCAGGACATGGCTAGGAGTCAGGCGATGTTCATCCCAAGAATATGGTCTAACAATAGTAATCGATTTTGATCGATCCCGGATTAATGAAAATTGAATAGGATGTTAAGATTAAGAGTAGCACCCCAAAAGATAGAAACACATACACACACACAAATCTCTATTCCAGTAGGATTTTACTTTTTTTTTGGGGAGTTGCGATGCGACAAACAGTCAAGTTTGAGGTTGAAGATTTGAACATGGACCCGATTCGCTACGTGGCGAGATTGGTGGGATTTTGCTGCAGGGATACCATCGCATGGGAAGCACCATTTCTGTTACACTTCCCATGCAAACATAACTGCTTGGTGGTATACTTACCCCTCGGAAAAATATGAAAGTCAGATGGGATGATTATTCCCAATCTATGGAAAAATACTTACTCCTCTGAAAAATATGAGTTCGTCAGCTGGGATGATGAAATTCCCAACTGAATGGGAAGTCATAAAATTCATGTTCCAAACCAGCAACCAGCCATTCATATTCCATTACCAGAGGGTTAATCACCATTAAATCACCATTAATATCACCATTAATATCCCTATTTCTAGCAAAGATGATGGTAAACATCATTCATATCCCCATGACTGTTGGTTATATCCCTATTAAATCACCACAAGATAAGGTTCCTTCCAGAAATGGCACGTGAAACAAAATCGGGACTGGCGGTCTGATCGATGGGGGATCGATCAGAAATCACCAGCGGCATAAATCGTTGATGTGAAATGCGAAGCGATATTGTTGACCAACGACTTGGCAAGGTTTACCTGGAGTTTACCTCGTCGAAAACTCGCCATTTTCAATGACTACGCCTATTTCTGGTCCTTCAAGCTTCATCTCTGATCACATCTGCATAGTTTCATACAAAGTGGTGCCCCAGTTCGATAGCTAAGTTGGTGCAAATAACTCCAATTTCACTCGGACTTATGGTAGATATATCATGATATATCTATGGTTTTTCTGGGGTTATAAACCAACGTTCACATCACAGGTGGGGTACCACATTGTAATCCAAATCTCCAAAAAAATCGAGGTTTCCCATGGTTCCATGGTACCTCCTCGTCCCAACGCGACGGGCGTTCTTCCGTTCTAGGCGCCCCAACGAGCCAACACCAAGCGCACCGGGGTGAAGCACCTTGGAGGTGCCACTCAGCTTTTAATAAAGAATTTTAATCATGGAAGTCCTATTAAAAATCAAGTACCCTCTGGTAAACTAACATAGCTATTGAAAATGGCCATTTATAGTGAGTTTTCCCATTAAAAATGGTGATTTTCCATAGCTATGTTAAATTACCAGAGGGTAGTACTTCCCAAAGATGATGATCACACTGATTAAACAATGGATCGAAAATAGAAACATTGCCAAGTTTAGAGGGAACATGATTACGTAACCTTCCCAAAGACGATTAAACATGATGAAAAACAGTAAGATTTACAGGCACCTAACTTTTCAAAGAAGCCAGAGATGATCATCACTGTCAATAAATGGTTTGATCACTGAAAAGGAAACCATCAGAGATGGATAGAGATGGTGATTTGAATGATGAATCAACGGGGACTGAACTAGGAACGATATGCTTATCTTCCTGTGGGTCTCAAACTGGGGGATACACCTGCCTTTTCAATTCTGATTCGAGTCCACCCGGGCAACGAAAGATGGGCATTTACCAGTAAAAATAGGAGAACACGATAACTTCATGATGGTTTAGTGGGAAGTATTGGGAATGGACTGTGACGCCACAAGAAAATTCCGACTTCAGAGGATGGATTCGGGTGGGCCATGCAAATATCATCAAATCTCCCGACATCTTTTCCCATTTTTTCCTGACATCTCCAGGAACCCCGGAACCACCCGAAATAAGGATATACCAACGCAAAAGGGTAGAAGCTCCATCAACCTCAAAATCCGCCCGCACCGAAGGTGCTGGGGCGTGATCGTCCGGATGGCACTCGTAAAAGGTTACAGGTTTACCTGGGGGGGGGGGCGCATTTTTCGGCCAAAACCTCCTGTTTTTGATAGGTCGTGACGCTCGCCTTCAAAAAACACTGTAAAAAACAGTACGGAAGACACCTGTTCGTGAACGCGCCCGTCCAAAAAATCGGCAAGCGAAAAGTGAAAAAAACTCGTGTTTTTCAACTTTTTGACCTCAATTTTTTGGTTTGCAACATCGTTTTTTGCGGTTCCGCAGGTGGCCTGGCCCGGAGGCGGATTTTTGAGTTTTTGGACCCGTTTTCGGACTGATTTTCGTCGTTTTGTGATAGCAGAAACACGGGTTTTTACAGTGTTTTTCTGTTTTCTGCATGCTTGACGGCTAGCTTCAAAACTTCCAAAAACCTCGTAAATTACGCTGTTTTATGTTACGGTGTGAATGAAAACATCGTAAATACCAGTGTTTTTTGACGTTGGTTAAAAAAACACTGTAAATTACAGTGTTTTTGGCCACCTGACCCTCAAAAACCATGGTATTTGCAGTGGTTTCTGCTTCTCACCGCGCAAAAACACTGTAAATAACAGCAATTTCGCCGTTTTTTCATGTTTTTCGTTATTTTTTGAACTGCGTTGGTCCGCTATACATGGCTATCAAATTCTTCGCGTTTTTTTTTTTTCCGACAATCAGTACTTTCGGATGTTTTTGGTCTCAATGGCCGACATCATTGGCAGTTTTCTTACGATGCGGGCGGTTGCCGTCGCGAAGCGACGTGAATATTGGCCACAGTTTCTGCGCAAAGACCAGCTTTTTTGGTCATATGATGACGCCATGGCTAACCTTAGATTCCTTAGATTCCTTGCAAAAAACCAAACAATGATGTCATCTATCCATATCATTCCATATCAGTTTTCTCGCGAAAAAAAATCAACTTACTGCTCGGTGCCCCATTTTTGTTGGGATTGATATGGGTCTATCTGAAAATGGGGGTATCCCCAGTATCTCCCTCAAGTATTTAACATAGCTATTGAAAATTGCCATTTATAGTGGATTTACACATTAAAAATGGTGATTTTCCATAGTTATGTTAGTTTACCAGATGGTAAATGATTGTTAACAACAGGATGTGGGTACCATGCCCAAGCCAACAAGTTCTACTGACGAGATCCCTGACACAGCTCAAGAAATTGGCATAGATCCCAGAGGAGAAGTAGATCAATAGCCATGCCTTCGGGGAGTCATGGCTATGGAGTTGGAAGAGTGGGTATAGCTCCGCGGATTTCATGGTTGGGAATGGGCCAACATTGGGTACGACCTCAAAATGGGATTGCAATTATATATGTATAGTATATATATATGTAATATATATAAATAATATGTATATATATATAAATATGTATATATATATAAATATGTATATATATATATAAAATAATATATATATAAATGTATATATATATATATATATATCAATATGTATATATATATATAAAAGAATATATATATATATGTAAATGTATATATATATATATAAATATATATAATGTATATATATATATATATGCCAAGCATATGACCAACATCTGTGGTCCAATGGGTCTTAAAATATGACTTCTAGCGATACCGGGTCCATTTTCAGCCCCAGGCGTATGCTGAGTTATTTTCCCAAACATGGATCAATTCTCACTATCTCTGGCTCCCTTGCTCCTCCTATACCTCACAGGTTTTTTGCGCATCGGAGTTCGAAGAGAAACTGAAAGTCGAATTAGGTGGAACCCTCAGACCCTCGTCCGTTCAGGCTGGTACCTCAAGTGACCAGTCGTGGACGATACTCCTTTTCTTGTCCTTTAAATCACCGACTTGGCGAGAGAAAACACCAGCAGATTAATAGACACCCTTTTTTCTTCTGACTTTCCGATGCTGCACATAAAAGCCTCTACAAAACCCATCACTAAAGCATCATATTTTCCCAATCCTTGGTTGGTTCACGTCTTGGACCCCTCTCACCATCGGTCACTAGCTCATCACAGTCTAGGTCGAACCCTCCTGTTAATCTCTACTATCCACTCCCATCACGTGTGGGGACAACACGGACAAATTTCACCATTCAGAGTCATGTACATCTTGGGTAGCCTGCAACCACACTATTGTTTCCCAAAATCCCACGGTTTGTTCTCATTTTCCCTCGTACTGGGGATAGTGAATGGCTATAGTTGGGGATATATCCCAATCCTTCCGGGCTTTTTCGATGGTTCACCCAACATCCTTGGCACCCTCACTGGAGTACCCCAGATGATCTCCAGCTGAACCTCAGGGGGAAAGGCTTGTGGGGTTTTTTAATGGGCAGTTGGATGATAAAATGACATTCAGGCCAACAAACGTGGGAGTATCGATGGGAGGGATATTCATGAACAAACTAGGAATCTAACTATCAACAACAAGTCATGGTGGTTTGAAAACAATCCACACATATGAATACACATTATGTATGAGTCATTTGGGTTTGATATCGCAAGCAGGAATGGAACACGAATTCAATCCACCAACCAACTCGGTGATGTATTTCCATCATGTATGTTTCATAGGACATATTCTTCCGACATGGTGTAAGATGTGTTAACATGGAAATCATCCGCATATAATCCCATCCCCCAATATTCAACACCTAAATGGTCCCGACTATTGGAATTTCGTTAAATGGGGTAGTTCAAGCATGGTAGTTCTAAAACAGAGAACCACCCAAATCCCGGTGTTGACTTTCCTGTACTGTCCCAATCAAAGAGTTGTCTTGGGATATCCCGGCCCCGTTCCATACACCCAGATTCAGGAAATCCAGTATGTTTCCAGTGAAATCTGCATTTTGGCTCCTAAAACCATCATCTTTTGTACTTGGAAGATCATCCTGGTTTATTCCTTCAACTGGGATCAAGACATAAGTAGGTGAAATAAACACCACTTTCTAACGACTTAGGATTGGGGGGGTAAACCGTAAACGAGTTTTTGCTTGTAAAACCCATCATTTTTCCTATGATTCCTCAATCTGGGCAAGGTGCTCCAGCGCGGATCTGCACCAAGATGTTCCCCACCTGCGGGTAGGGTTTCTGCTTAAGGGACCACAGTTTCAATATCACCAATTGAAATCACTGGTTGGTGGTTTCAACCCATCTGAAAAATATTAGTCAGTTGGGATTGTTATTCCCAAGACATGGAAAAATGTTCCAAACCACTAACCTGATCATAATATGGGTAAGATTAGTTTCTGACAATTATCAAGAATCACCAGTTTTTAAGACTAGCTACTAAATAGAAATAATTGTAATTCGTGATACAAGTACTGTTTAGCAACTATCATTAGTATATTGTTGTCATTACCAATAGTACTTAGTACTATTGGTATAAACAAACATAGCTACAGAATAAAAGCAATAGTAGTAATGGCCCCAGAATGATTTGATAGTAATGTTTAATGCAGCTAACAATCGCGATAATAACTATTCATCATTGTTATTGTGAATATCAGGAATATAGATTATAGTAATATACAGTATTATTTATTAACAACAATTAATGATGGTGACCTAGAAACATGATTGATTATCACCAATCTTACTATTAACAATTAACCAATACCTGTTGGATCTATGCATCATAGTGGCCGATGGTTGAATGCCAATGAGAATATCATAGAAGCAAACTTGGTCATATACTTGACCCACTTACCACTAGGTTGTTTAGATGGAAGCCATCATTGGTGGCATCAAACCAGTTGGGCTTTTGCGCAGCTTCTTCTGAACGTCTGGGGGATATTCACGGGCTTTGCCCCATCAAAATGGGATTTCCCAGGAAACAATATCAAAATTATTCGCTAACCTGAAATAAGGTCATTTTGGAATAATACAATTTCTCAAGATCCGTTTCAATCAGGACATTTTTATGGCCAAACTTATACAGCTTAAATATCTGCAACAAAGTTTCTCTCTGGCATGTCTGTTTTTCGCATTCACGGCTGTACATCAACCCGTTCACCTATAAATCCAGTTTGCTTTTGATGGTTTTTCATTGAGCTATCCGTAGAATGCTTTTACTGAAGTGGACTATCAGCAAGGAAATTGGGGATGTCCATCTAGAAATGGTTGGAACAAATGACTTACGCATCTGATTCGTCTGTGTTCCCACTTGAGAATTGGACGATTTTCCAACAAATCTTCAAGCCCTCAGTCCCCCTTGAATGCACCAGATGGATCCAGCCAGCATGCAACATTGTGGCCTAGGCCCGACATGGACACGGATGTGGATGCAATCCATTGATTTTTGTTGAAATTATAGAACATTCACCCGAAAATCCATGGTTCGTTCTGGAGCCCTGACGAGCCAATCTAAAGACTTCTTGAAAATCCTCCCTTGAACAAATCTATGGTGAGCACCGTCACAAATGAGACACACCTCACTTAAAACTCCACTAGAATGAGCATTTTCCTCACCTGTGCCCAACAGGAACGGCATCCTCCAGACCAACTTTTTGGAATTCCATAAGCACGTTCAATAGAACGAGAAGATCTTCCTTAACATTCATAAGGATATGACTCAACAACAATGTACACATACAAACACTAGATAAATCGCAGAGACAATTCGGGTGCCAAGAATGGAGATCCTTAGTTTCCAGTTCCAGGACACCAGGAAATGGTGGAATCTGAGGCCAATCTCTGACTATCTACATGTTTCTTCTTCTTCTTCTTCTTCTCCTTGCTCTTGTTCTTGTTCTTGTTCTTGTTGTTGTTGTTGTTCTTGTTCTTCTTGTTGTTGTTGTTGTTTACATATCCTAAATGCATGTTCTAAATACATACTCACATTCTGACACTTTGACCATACCTTCAGGAGCCACCTTTTAAGTAGGATATGACCAATAAACATGGAACTGGAACAAAACTATTTCCGAGTAACAAATGGGTCATTGCTGCCGGTGACAGTTTCTGCGTCACAGTGTCAAAACTTCGATTCAACTCTCCAGTTTCTGAGGGCAACTTTTGCACAAACCCAGATCTAGCTTTGAGAGTGATCAATTGCTGGTTGGTGGTATGCCTACCCCTCTGAAAAATATGAAAGTCAGTTGGGATTATGACATTCCCAATATCTGGAAAAATGAAATTCATGTTCCAAGCCAGCAACCAGATTGGGGGTTCATAAAATTGCGGTGCCCCACAATTGATGATCAAAACACGGCATTTACCCAGCAAACAACTGGCAATACCCTCCTGTAATCAAACGTGGCAGTTGGAAATCCCCCATAGGAGGTTTATAGCTGGGAAAATCATCGAACTAAATCTGAAGGATTTTCCAGCAAACCATGGTAGGCTAACTTGAGGCTACCCTCTGGTAAACTAACATAACTATTGAAAATGGCCATAGAAATAGTTGTTTTACCCACTAAAAATGGTGATTTTCCATAGCTATGTTAAATTACCAGAGGCTAAATTGAGGGTAGAGGAATCCATTGTAAGACCCAGATGTTGATCATCCGCTAAGAGGCAGAGGCCAACCGCCAAACTTCGCCATTCGCGATTTTGGCCTTGCTGAGCGATGACATGTTGGAGGATTTTGGATGGAAACTGCTGGGTGGATTTAACTCAACAATGGGGTAATCCACCAGATTTATCTGGCTGATGATACTTCGGAACAACTTAGTAACTTGGAAACAATCCGACAATCCAATGGCTGGGTTCTTGTAGCTAAGTATTATATCTGAGGTCAGCAAGAAAGGTTCTTTCAAGTCCAGAGTTATGTGATAAACATGGACCATTAGAGCAGGCACGGAACAACCCCAAGCCTAAGTCCCTGCTGCTTTCAGCAGGGAAGTGCCGATTTATCCCTCATGTTTGGCGATGTTTCATCCCAAATCTGATTGCTCTCCATTTTGAATGGCTATAATCCATACGACCATCAGCAACCATCACCCCAGACCCTATTGGGCTTTAATCGGAGGCAAGTTCCTACTTGGAGTAGGTTCATAGCTATCTGCTCCAGCTCTGCTAGGTGTGTGGCCAGTGCCCTCACTGACCTATAGGGATGCCTCCACCGAGCCCAGGCAGGGACCGTCGCCGCGAGTCTCAGCCTGCTTAGCGATAAGGTGCCTTAATGTTCCCTAAAAAAAAACAAGATGTTCAAATCTCTCGCTCCAGAACCCGCTGCAAACTGTGGCCATGCTTGCCGCCACCTTGTCTGTGGATTTGTTTTTAGCCACAGCACGGTGGGGGCCCCTTGTATTTCTCAGTTGCGGAATGAAGGAAAGCACACTGCTTGGCCTTGCAAGAGTTATAGGCGCAAAACATGCATGGAGTCTTAGTCTTCTGGGCAGGGGCCATGTTGGTGACGTCTGTGCCTCCGCACTCCCAGGAGTGGTACGTAGTGCTGCTCGGATCGGTCCTACTGAATTTGTTACACAGTAGTCTGCCGCTACAGTAATCAACTGTATCATCAGCTGTATCATCATCATTTTACTCATTGACATGTTAACATGGCAATTCCTAGGGCATGCCTGACTGCCCGTATTGTCAGACAAACCCAAATGGAAAGATCCGTTGATCCTCATTTATCGCATCATTTACAATGGCTGCGTGATATCATTTCCAACTTCCACTTGTTTTCGCTACATGGTAATGTTTTTATACTATATAGATATAGATATAGATATAGATATAGATATCCTACCCGAAGGAAGTTTAGAAGTCAAATTTCCGACAATATGGGCAGATGAAAAGCAGAGCAGGGCAGAGGCAGAGAGAATAGAAAGATTAGAAGAGAGAAGATCAGAGAAGAGAAAGAGTCAGAAGAAAGAAGATGCAGATGCGCGAAAAGGTGGGAAAGTCGCGAAACACTGTGTTTTTCGAATGATTTGAGGCTCCGGAGGGTCGAAAAGTAAGCTCGCTAAAGCGGCGGGTGCGGAGCCAGCTGGCCAGATGAGAGATGGAAAAGTGCACGCCGTTGTGGCGCGAAGCACATTTCGAAGTCAAAAATGTACAAAGCACACCATGGTCGGACCACTTTTGGAAGTTGCGATGTCAAAAAAGTGCACGACTTTGTGGCGCGAAGCACATTTCGAAGTCAAAATGTACAAAACACACAATTTTCGGACTACTTTTGGAAGTTGAGATGTCGAAAAAGTGCACGCCGTTGTGGCGCGAAGCACATTTCCAAGTCAAAATGTACAAAGCACCTCAGCGTCGGACCGCTTTTGGACGTTGAGATGTCGTTCCGCGTGGCAGGTGCAAGGGATTGTCGATCTTGTCGAAAGTGAGCAAAATGTGAGGGTTTTGTAGCAATTCCAAAAACGATGGCAGGCATGGGACATTTGAAGAGGATCTGCAAAGATGCATTTTCCGTGGCAGGCGCAGTACAAAGGACATGTTCATGAGAGATGTTAGGAGGTCAGGGCGCTGATTTCCTGAGAGGGGTTGCATTTTGGAGTATCAGATCTGCAGGTTTGCTAAGATGATTTTGCGTGACAGGTGCAGCACTTCGTATGACCTGGCATCAATTTTCGGTGGCAGGCGCAGTACTTTAGACAGGTGGACTGGAAAAATCGCAAAACGCATTGGTACGAGGCTGTCAGCTCTGCACTCAACTTTCCATTTTTGAAGGAAGTCTCGCAGAATTCATTTGTTTTTGATGTTGTCAAATTGAAAAAATTGAAGAAGCCTCGCAGAATTGCTTCGTTTTTGACGTTGTTAAGTTCAAAAATTGAGGAAGTCTCGCAGAGTTGCTTCGTTTTTGATGTTGTCAACTTTGAAAAGTGAAGAAGTCTTGCAGAATGGCTTGGTTTTCAAGCTTGCAGATAGACAGGTAGATAGACACACAGACAGAGAGAGAGATAGATAAATAGATAGATTAGATAGATTAGATAGATAGATTAGATTAGATTAGATTAGATTAGATTAGATTAGATTAGATAGATAGAAAGATAGATAGATAGATAGGTAGATAGATAGATAGATAGATAAATAGATAGATAGAAAGAAAGAACGATAGATAGATAGGTAGGTAGGTAGGTAGGTAGGTAGAGAGTCAGAGAAAGAGAAAGAGAGAAAGAGAGGTGACCTCAACCACCTTGCGGCCCATCAGTGGCTTCGCTCTGCCATCCGTGATTCACAACAACCAATCTCTCCTATAGGTTTCCTATCTTTGAAACTTCCGCCACCGCCTTGTGCGGTACTACAGGTATTTTTCCTACTATATTTCCCCTTTTCCCGTTAAATCATCATTTTTGTTGGTGCATTCCCTAATTTGTATCCCATGCTTTAAGGAACTGATCCAACAAAAATACACATCTTGGGAGTCATGAAGGTGGGCCTGTGATCCTTCGTCTCCCATATCAGGTCTCTCAACTAGAAGACAATTTCAGCTCTTGCTTTCACCCATTTTGGCAGAATCCAAAAGACAATCCGGTGAAATTCTGCAGAATTCCCGGCTGAAATTAGTTAAATTTCACCCTTTTATCCTGCTCTGAAAAATGATGGACTTCGTCAGTTGGGATCATTGTCCCCAACTGAATGGAAAGTCATAAAATCCATATTCCAAAGCACCAACCAGTAAAGTGAAATATCACATTTATAGTTGATTTACCCATACCAAAATGGTGACAAACCACCAACCAGCCATTCATATTCCATTACCAGAGGGTTAATCACCACAAAATCACCATTAAATCACCATTACCAGCCATTAAACATCATTAATATCCCCATGGTTGTTGGTTATATCCCTATTAAATCACCATTAAATCACCATGAAATCAGCAACAAATGGCGGAAATCAAGCAGACCACCGAGGTGCCGCGTTCTTGGCGCCCGCTGCATCGAGGCGGTGAAAGTGAGGACCCAACATGGGATTGTCCTGGAAAGAGGGTCGAAATCCAGGTACCCAACCTGGTAAACAGATATATAGTGATTAATAGTGATTAATAGTGATTAATAGTGATCAATATTGACTAAATAAAAATGACTAATAGTGACTATTCAGGATATACCCTCTGGTAAACTAACAGTTTGCGACATAGAAAATGGCCCAGTCGAAATAGTGGATTTTCCCATTACACATGGGGATTTTCCATGGCTATGTTAAATTACCAGAGGGTACCTGGATGACCTGGTACCCTAAGTCATAGCTGGCATAGCTGGATGGTTTTCTTCACCAAAACATAGCCCTAATAGGTTAAATCCAACCAGGATGGTAGCCGAAGTCAAAATCCGGGTGATAGCTGGATGGTTGAAAAACACCAAAATATCGCGACAACTGATAGGTTTTGGCCCATCGAAATGCGATATTCACAGGATATTCATGAGGATCTAGTCATATGGAAGTTTTCATTCCATGCTGGCATAGCCGGATGGTTTGCAGTAGAAAATCAGAAAATGAGATGGATGAGAACACTGGGTACCTCCATTTTAGGACCCCATCAAATATCATAGGATATTCATCAATGTTATGGGAAAATTCTGGGAGTGAACCAGACAATTAGGGATTTCTAGGAGGATAAAGCTGGATTTCAACAACTTGGATCTAACCGGCAAATTACAGGGTTTTTATCGAGGAAAAAGCCAAACTATGATCACTATTCAAAATATTCAGGATTGTTGTTATTAATCAGTATCGATCAGTACCAGCAACAACTAACCACTTACACATGGGCTAACACATGGGATAGACCAGTAATTTCCTGTTGTCATCCCATTAAACCCAATTTCATTGTAAACACATTATATATGTTGCTTGTACTTTGCTTGTACTATGTTACTATTCCCCATTGCAGACACGTTCATATGTGTTCTGAAGCACTTATGAGTCCGCACCATGTTCGTCTTCGTGTCCACTGGTGCCTCGTAAGATACGAAACCTCCATCTAAAGCGATCACCACCACAAGAATCATCACCTGCTGGCAGGGGGTCTGGAGATGATGCGAGGCTGGGGTGAAGAATGGTTGAACCATCAAGGTCAATTTAATGAGGAAAAATAGGATATAATAGGGATACCCTCTTAAATTTGAGGTATATATATACACCAAAATTGAAATTTTAATGGCAAAAATCTTGATAGCCTATTTGATTTCGGGGTATTCTATTTCCAGACATACCCATATAACTGGGGTAGAACCAACACTATGACTGAAACTACTTGGGTTTGTCTCAGCACAAGGGATAGGTCCCCAAATTCATGGCAATCTTACTGTGAAAATGATGATACCCTCCAGTAATTTAGCCAATCGCAAATCACCCATGTAACCATTACTCTTTGGCAATCAAATGTGGCAATGGACACCCCTCTTTTTCAATGGCAATTTGTAATTTATAGCTAGGAAAATCATCTACAACCGGGAGGTTTTCCAGTCACGTTTACCGGGATTTCCATGTTGAATTTCCAGAGGCCAAGCTGGGGGCTGCTCGTGAAGGGTGGTGCTCTCTTAAACCACGTTAAGCCACTTTGAAACTCAGTGGTCCATAGATCATTCATGATACGAAGCATGGCACATCATGGAACAGGGATTGCTTGATGGGCTTGGCCTTCCTAAATTTCCTAAGACCGCACTTTTACACCAGAGGATTCCTGTGGTGAAGATTCCAATGCCAAAATTGGTGACGATGACCTTTGTTGTGTTCAATCATGGTGACTTTCTTTGAAGGTGAAGACTTCCGTCCGTGCCGCACACGGCGAAGAGGCATTGGTATGGCCTCGTCCGCTTGGCTCCCTCTGTGTACTGAACTATGGACTTTGCCCTCTTGTAATGTCCGTCTAGTCGAAAGCTTTGTCCATTGTAGTTGGAAGGCTCTCATCAAGAGGGTGACACCGGTTGAGCTCCAGGCCTTCGCACTCTTGCTTCCAATTCGTCTCGCAATTCGTCTTCTTCTTGTGCATCAAAAATCTGCGCGAGCAAACGTTAATTAATCATTAGTTAATACCCATCATGACCCTTGCTTGCCGATGATTGCCCACTATTATTGAATCAAGATCAAACTGCGATTGGAAACAAAACCGCAAGAAATTCCTTGCCCATCAACGGATGCCAAGGGTAAAAGAAACGACAAGGAGATGGTAAATCGCTGGATATCAACGGTTGTATTTGATGAAATTAATTGCATGAAAGGTTATATCAAAGAAAAAACGGTACATAGGAATCAACTAAACGACATGCCTCAGAGGTGAAAATTGCCCACACTCCAGGTGTGACCGTGCTAAATAAACATGGTAAATCAATGATTATCACTCATTGCATCGATGTCGGAAATGGGCAGCAACAAAAGCACTGGGTAACAAATGCCATGTCTCAAAAGTGGGTATAGCAAGTAAACCCCGAAATTGATCCTGTGTAGTAAACCAGGCATGTTGAAGTGATCAATACTTAAGTGCCACAACCTGCCACGCAAAGTGAAGGTCCATGTCGCCAAGTGCCACACCTGCCACGCAAACAGCCGTGGCGAGCGCGCGACCAGGGTCGATGTCGCCAAGTGCCACACCTGCCACGTAAAGTGAAGGTCGATGTCGCCAAGTGCCACACCTGCCACGCAAAGTGAAGGTCGATGTCGCCAAGTGCCACACCTGCCACGCAAAGTGAAGGTCGATGTCGCCAAGTGCCACACCTGCCACGCAAAGTGAAGTTCGATGTAGCCAATTGCCACGCCTGCCACGCAAACAGCCGCGGCGACCACGACCAAACGGGACCCAAGAGAGGGAGCCCAGTGCCATAAGTGCCATAAGTGCCACACCTGCCACGCAAAGTGACGGTCGATGTTGCCAAGTGCCACGCCTGCCACGCAAACAGCCGCACCAGTGAAGGTCGATGTCGCCAAGTGCCTGCCACGCAAACAGCCGCGGCGACCACGGCGCCAAATGGGGCCCAAGCGCGCGACCAGAGGCAGCCCAGTGCCATAAGTGCCATGCCTGCCATGCAAAGTGACGATCCATGTTGCCAAGTGCCACGCCTGCCGATGTCGCCAAGTGCCAGTAAGTTGTGTGAGCAAGTTGTGTGTGAGTAAGTTGAGTGTGAGTAAGTTGTGTGTGGTTAAGTTGTGTATGAGCAAGTTGTGTGTGTGTGTGTGGAAGTTGTGTGTGAGTAAGTTGCGTGTAGACAAGTTGTGTGTGGACAGGTTGTGTGTGAGTAAGTTGCGTGTGAGTAAGTTGTGTGAGAGTAAGTTGCGTGTGAGTAAGTTGTGTGTGGACAAGTTGTGTGTGGACAAATTCTGTGTGAGTAAGTTGTGTGTGAACAAGTTATGTGAGTAAGTTGTGTGTGGACAAGTTATCTGTGGACAAGTTGTGTGTGGGTAAGTTGTGTGTGGATAAGTTGTGGGTGGACAAGTTGTGTGAGAGTAAGTTGTGTGTGGACGAGTTGTGTGCGAGGAGGAGGCAGGCGGCAGGAGGAGGTGAGAGGCGGGAGTGCACGACCAAAAACAAGAACCCCATGCCGTGATCATGCTGGGAGCAATTCAAAGCCACGCCTGGAAATGCTCAGTCAGACGCCTTGGCAAAGTCCACAGCTAGGCCAAACCGGACCCTATCTACCTTCCAACCTACCTACCAACCTACCTATCTATATACCTACCTACCTATCTACCTACCAACCTACCTATCTATCTACCTGCCAACCTACCAAACTATCTATCTATCTACCTGCCAACCTACCTACCTATCTATCTACCTGCCAACCTACCTATCTATCTATCTACCTGCCGACCTACCTACCTATCTGTCTACCTGCCAACCAACCTACCTACCTATCTATCCACCTGCCAACCTACCTACCTATCTATCTATCTACCTACCAACCTACCTATCTACCTATCTATCGACTGGCCAACCAACCTACCTACCTACCTATCTACCTGCCTACCTACCTATCTATCTACCTGCCAACCTGCCTACCTATCTATCTACCTGCCAACCTACCTACCTACCTATCTATCTACCTTCCAACCTACCTACCTACCTACCTATCTATCTATCTATCTACCTGCCCAGCTACCTACCTATCTATCTATCCATCTGTCTATCTACCTACCTACCTATCTACCTGCCAACCTACCTATCCATCTATCTACCTCCCGACCTACCTACTTATCTATCTATCTGCCAACCAACCAACCTACCTACCTACCTATCTATATACCTACCTACCTATCTATCTACCTGCCAACCTACCTACCTACCTATCTACCTACCTGCCAACCTACCTACCTATCTATCTACCTGCCAACTTACCTACCTATCTATCTACCTACCAACCTACCTACCTATCCATCTACCTGCCTACCTACCTACCTATCTATCTACCTGCCAACCTACCTACCTACCTATCTACCTACCTGCCAACCTACCTACCTATCTATCTACCTGCCAACTTACCTACCTATCTATCTACCTACCAACCTACCTACCTATCCATCTACCTGCCTACCTACCTACCTATCTATCTACCTGCCAACCTACCTACCTACCTATCTACCTACCTGCCAACCTACCTACCTATCTATCTACCTGCCAACTTACCTACCTATCTATCTACCTACCAACCTACCTACCTATCCATCTACCTGCCTACCTACCTACCTATCTATCTACCTGCCAACCTACCTACCTATCTATCTACCTACCTAGCTATCTATCTACCTATCCATCTATCTATCTATCTAACTATCTATCTATCTATCTACCTACCTATCTATCTATCTATCTATCTGCCAACCTACCTACCTATCTATCTACGTGCCAACCTACCTACCTACCTACCCATCTATCTACCTGCCAACCTACCTACCTATCTATCTACCTACCTATCTATCTACCTACCTACCACCCTACCTATCTATCGAATCTACCGGCCAAGCTACCTGCCTATCTATCTATCTGCCAACCAACCAACCTACCTACCTACCTATCTATATACCTACCTACCTATCTATCTAGCTATCTATCTACCTATCTATCTACCTGCCAACCTACCTACCTATCTATCTACCTATCTATCTACCTGCCAACCTACCTACCTATCTATCTATCTACCTGCCAACCTACCTACCTATCTATCTACCTGCCAACCTACCTACCTATCTACCTACCTGCAAACCTACCTACCTATCTATCTACCTGCCAACCTACCTACCTATCTATCTACCAATCTATTTATCTACCTACCAACCTACTTCGACTCATGTGGCGATGATGTCTGTGAACATGCAGTGCGTCATGATATTGCACCAATAGACCTGGTTTGCGCAGCCGTGGCCAACGGAGGGTCTTTGATCTTGGGCCTCTAGGGGGAAGGGATCGGGAAACCTTGAAGGAGGTGGGGAAAGGAGGAGCAGGAGGTGAGCAAGGGACATGCAGGCCCCCCCCCCCCAGACCCCTTTATAGTGCGACGACAACTGGGGCCAAGCCTGACCAGCTGGATTTCGTGATTATATCAATTTCACAAATTGCTTTTGCGCAATAAGCTAGCAGTTGTGAACGCATGTTCAAGACATAGAAACGTCTGAAAACATGAAAATTCACCTTATTCCTCTAGACATGACCGACCCTGTTTGGCAACATGCAACAAATAAACAAGCTAGCTGACGTTATTCCGTGAAAAAACGGAATCAAAATAGTACGCAGCCTGTGTGTTAAAAAAAAAGGACCGGAAAACTTCACATGTGAAGCATTGTGAAGCCATGTTTGTTAGGAATGCAGGATGGTAAGACGAGATGTATGATGGTGTGCGTATGAACCCCCGATTCTGACGCTGCACTTGTCATTCTGATTGGTGAAATCCCGATTTGTACCGGTTTATCAAGTCCCACATGTTTGACAATTAGGATGACTCAGTCTCCTATTCTTTGCTGATGAATTTCAACATTTTGTTAGCTCTAAATCATCGGTTTTTCTGGTTCAATCCGATTTTTCCGCAAAACAACTCATCTTTGTGGACCAAAACCCCTATATGTTTGTGGATTAACTCACCATTCTCCACGCATTATTCAAGGCGCGGTGTGCAGCTGCCCAACCTTGCCTGCACCATGGATAACATGAAGGACATCCTCAGAGGGGCTTGTCTTGCAGAATGGTCATTTCACCATCGTAGCGATCTGGTTGGTGGTATACCCACCCGCTGAAAAATAGGAAAGTCAGTTGGGATTATTATTCGCAACTGAATGGAACAATAAAACATGTTCCAAACCACCAAGCAGCTATTATATGCTTCATTCTTAAAAACTATTATAACACATGGTATTTCAACAACGTTCGTAACTCTTAATAACTATAGCTATTAAGACACCATGTTCAACATCATAGTTATTAAGAATTGTGTTTCAACATGGTGTGCCACACAATAATTGTGATACTCACAGTCACGAATAATGTTCAACAATGATTGAGCATTTTCACAATGGTTGATGAAATAACTTTCACAACAGTTCATACTAGTCAAAAATGGTAGATACTGGGTAGTAGTGGTTGATTCAAAATATCACGATGTGTTTCCAAAGTGATGAACTATTTATGATTGATACATATTAATGCTGATTATTGTATGCTTAAGTCGTATCATAGCATGATTAATACTGCAAGTTATTTTCAGACTGATTCAGCATTTCTGCTGGATCATGATTAAGAACGCGTAGTTTAAACTATATAACTTGTATAACCAAAATTTTATCCATAACGGTTCATACTGACGAAACATCGTGAATACAATAAATCGTGATGATAATTGAATCAAATTATCTACCTCCTGTCCAATACTAACAACTATGCATCCAAGGTTTCCGCAGCTAATCTCAAATATGCCCAACCTCTCCTCGGTGGTGCATTTATTTGTTGTTGGGTCCTTTATTGGAGGTACCCTCTGGTAAACTAACAGTTTGCGACATAGAACATGGCCCAGTCGAAATAGTTGATGACTACCCATTAGCATGGTGATTTTCCATAGTTTTTTGTATGTTTACCAGGCCGGGTATTTACGATTGAGAGGGATGGTAATCCCTTTGACCTTGAGATTTCCATGGTCACCCAAAGTCAATGGGCTCAGTCAATGGGGATCGGAATTCCATCTGGGCTCATTCCATCGGAATTGGATCCCAAAATCCATTGGTCCATCATCACTTTCGCTAAAAATTGGCCAATTTTGGAGGTATCCCCCAATTTCCAGACACACACTTGCTCAGAAACATCCCACATCCCCATTTTTTTTGTTTGCAGAAACCTAACCATATCCACATCTGTCCTTTTTTAAACGCACACCTTTAATGGGTAACGTAGTCACTTACCCCGGGATCCCATCTGGATTTCTCTCCGCCGTCATCCAAGGGTCGAAAACAGGAAGCGACGCCAAGCTTTTTTCGCTTCAGGCGTTCTGGCAAGGCAGAGATCGTGTCCAATCTTAGAATTTTTTAGATGATGTGCAAAAAACATCTGGTAGTCATGGCCATTGAAAATCCATGAGCATCCTATAAATGTGGCGTTTTAATGGGAAAAACATCGATAATGAAAAATTGAAGGATTTCTATTTCCACATACTTCCATGTTTGATGACCAACTGGGAGCTGATGAGCAAAAAAAAATCTCACCAAAAATCAACCCAAAATCAACCCATGGTCGTCCCCCCAAAATGGCGAAGCGCCATCCCCACTGAGGTGATGTGAAACCTTCATGTTTGATCTATTCCAAGAAGAATCCCAGGATCCACGCGGGGTCAAAACCAGAAATTGATAGTTTACATATTGAGTCCACAAAAAATGTTCAACAAAAAAAAGGTTGGTTTCTCCCAAGGGACTCTGCCCCTGGCATACTTCGCCAATGGGAAATCAACAGTCAGTTCACCTCTGTTACCCCGGTCGTGTCGCTGGAATGGCGGTTTTATTTGGGATATGCCTTATGCCCCCTAATCTTGCCATTATTATCCACAATTTATGGTGAAGTCGGCCAATAAGATCGCGACATTATCTTACCCAGAATCATCAAGGGGTCATAGAAGGCATCAACCAGCAAACGCACTTTTCTATATCTTACAGATGTATAGATTCTGGTTCTTTTGGGATTCAACCAACCGTGTGTTCTGCGAGTCGATGGGAAGAAAAAAGGATCCTCAGCCCTTCCTGGGTGTCGGTGGATTTCCACCGGAGGTCCAAGTCAAAAGTGGCAACCAATGGCCACTACTCGTGTTCATCGGCTTTAAAACGTTTTTTTTTTTAATAGGCTTAATCTTGAAAACTTCATCTTTATTATGTTGATTAATGTTATTTGCATCACACCGAGGAACTGTCGTTCCTCATTTTAATGATTTTCAGATAAAGATCTGTTTCCGAATGCATATCTGGCTGTCTTTCTATCTATCTATCTAAATAATATCTGATTCAATCTAATCTAATCTAATCTAATGTACTCTAAATCTATCCATCTATCTATCTGATCTAATCTAAACTAATCTTGTCTAAACTAATGTAATCTATGCGACCATCACAGCCGTCCCTCCAAGCGATCAGCAGCTCCCAGTCCACAAAAAATCATCATGTCCCAGAATCCCAGGGCGAAGACAGTGTGAAAAGATCTATATATAACTGATTTTGATTAAACACCATTAATATCTTAATATATATATATATTCAAATCTGTTAGATGAGATATAACTAATGTATATATATATTATTATTATTATCATTATCATTATTATTATTATCATTATTATTATTATTGTTATTATTATTATTATATATATATATATTATAATCATTAATCCCACCATAATCCACCATTAATGGGCTGCGGAGGCTGTTTCCGTATCTTTTAAATATACGCTCGCTCTAAGGGGGTTATCATCCAATTTCCAACCACTTACTAGATTCAGCTGGATGCTCCAAACGAACACATGGAGACACCAAATGGTAAATTTGGAGACCCGCAAAAATATTTTCACATGTCAAAAGGATGTGATATAAACATTAGATAAACTGGTTGGCGGTTGCAACCTGAAAAATATGAACGTCAGATTGGAGTATCATCCCAACTATTGGGGAAAATAAAAGCCATGTTCCAAACCACCAACCAGTAAACTATCATCCAAAGTCAAACATGGCTGGATCATGAAAACGAATCATCCGCCAGCAAGTTCACCCGCTTAGACCATGCCTGCATCCGATCACGCAGCATGGGCAACAGCTGAAACAACATCTGAAGGCGCAGGAAGGTTCCTGTCCCAGCAACAGAACAGGGATCTGGGCGGTCGCGATGATTTTCCGCACAGGGCTACGGCAATTTGAATCAGTTCCACGTTGGATTTTGAGAGATGTAAATACCCTCTGGTAATTTAACATAACTATGGAAAGATCCACCCATTTTTCAATCCACTATTTCTATGGCCATTTTCAATAGCTATGTTGACATAACCAGAGGGTAAACCCTTCCTCCAACATGACGACCCTGCCATGAGTGGGGGGCGACTACAGCCACTGAAGCGCCTGCTTCAGGACCTCGCCCCACCTCGGAGGCCATCTTTCCCGAAACAGCCAAGGTTTCATAAAGTCAACATCGAAGCAGATGTTGATTTCACCAGTGGAAAATGGTGATTAATGGTGATTAATGGGTAATAGTGAATTAATGGTGGTCTACCCTCTGGTAAACTAACATAGCTAAACAGATATATAGTGATTAATAGTGATTAATAGTGATTAATATTGACTAAAAATGACTAATAGTGACTATTCAGGATATACCCGGCCTGGTAAACTAACAGTTTGCGACATTGAAAATGGCCATAGAAATAGTGGATTTAGTGGATTTTCCCATGAAAAATGGGTGGATCTTTCCAGTTCGTTATGTTAGTTTTTACCAGAGGGTAGCCACATTAGGAAAATCACTTCCAAGACTTCATTCTTGGCTTCGCATGCCATGCTTGAAATGCATTTCTACATTGCTGAAGGGTTTTGGACGATGGCTTGCTGGTAGGGCTCCATAGGGCTCCTCAGATTGGTCAACCTTGTAGACTCAGTAGGAACCCGGATCAGCACCTGAAACAAACCGCTTTTTGGGATGGAAACAAATCTCTAACTGCGGCCTCTTCCTGCAATTTCTGGTTTAATCATGTTTAATTAAGAACCTCAATTTATAAACCGTTTGCCCTCTTGGGGTGATTCAGAAAAATCACGCCCTACTGTCCTTGGCATTGTCGATCTCGCAATCAAAGCCAAACGGCGAACATCAAACAGAGATATGGGTCCCGTGGTCTATACGTGTGTAATTGCACAAATTAAATAAATCAGAATGTTAGATATATTGAATTATGGATTCAATTCGATTCATGGACAATGGATTAAATTATGGATCATTGATAGGTACTCCATCTGGCAGATAGTCTAATTAGACATCACAAGCCATAGTTATTGAAGTTATGTGGCCCCCAACTTAGCTATCATAAACCGGCTGGGCCGGCTATCTTTTGATCATTTTTTTGGGTTAAGTCATCATTTTCCTATGGTTTTCCTATGGTTTTTCCAAGGGGGCCCCATCTGTACCTTGTCCCCTTGGGCATCGGACACAGGATCCACCATGCTGTAGGTCACCGGGCCAGGCGCCATTTCCACCTGCTGGAAGATGAAGTACGACTCATCATCGTGTTTTTGTATCCAATATTGAAAATATGGTATATATTACATATACATATATATATATGTATGTAATATAATAAAATGTACGAGCCCACCCAGTACATATACATATACATAGTATTCTGAATAATCCATACATCTCCAATTCTTGGTATTGAACTCTGAGATATCACACATACCGCCATATTTTTTGGTCATGTCATGTCATGTCATTGCCCGCCACAAGTGCAACTTGAACGAAATGGAGGTTTCCCCAAAAAATGGGGGGGGTACCCCAATAGCTGGACGATTTATATGGAAAATCCTGCCCAAAAATAATGATTTGGGGTAGCACGACATTTTAGGAAACCTCCTTCCATATGGCTATGGGTCAAGTCACAGTGACATGGCCAATTTGTTCAGTACCAGCAACTTCTCCCACTTTGATGAATAGAAATTTCCCATTGAATCCAATTTTCTCTTGGTAGCAACATAATGAATAAATTTCCCATGGTCACAGCCCAATCTTGCATAGTTTGCACAGCTATCTCTTCAGGTATCCCTAAAGTCTACAATGAACAGCCCTTGTGATCCCTTGAATCCAAGTCCATTCAATGCATTGATTTCTGGGACAAAAATAATAATAGTTTTTTTTTTTTAAATGGGGGGTACCCCAAAATCATCCATGTTTTAATAGGATTTCCATTATAAACCAACCAGCTCTTGGGGGATCCCATGTGGATTTCCATGAAATAAACCATCCAGCGAGCTGGGGGAACCCACCTGCTCCGGTGAGTTCTGCAACTCAGCGGCCTCTTGGACAAGAAAAATCGACAGACGCTGACGGATGGGTCAAGTTACCTATTTTTTCTGTAGGTCAAACAATGGACAACTATAGGAAAACCATAGGAAAATGGTGATTTAACCAGCAACAATGGAGATTTATATCTATATATATATATATTATATTATATATATGTATATATTTGTAGGTCAAACAATGTCATAAACCATGACTGGGCATGGTCTAAACATACCAGCTATCAAAATGGTGATGACTGGGGGTTTATGACATTGTTTTACCCACATGAGTGCCATATTGGGGGAATAAACGTTCATTAGCTATTTCAGGATACCTATCATACCAGGGTTTATAGCCATATCTTTTTCCCCTAAGTGAAAATCATTAAAAAAAAGTGGTAGAAAAAAATTGAAGATACAACATTCTCGAGTGACATACCCTCAAAGCGGAGACATCATATCCGATTGTCTTAGCTGAATAACATGCAATAAGGTGCATGCTCTAACCTTCTTTCCAACCCTGTCGCGAAAGAACAACAACCCTGATCTTCAGGCGGTGTCCAATTTTTTCTTGAGGAATTCCTTTGACTCAACTGCCCTGAGTTCGTACACTTTTTTTGAGACACAACCCTTAAATTAAGGCAGTGTCCATCGTTTATTTTGGGACATGGCCTTTAAATTCAATGCCCCTGACTTTGAGGTGTTCTGGCAAAAACCAGGTGTGGTTTTCTTTGAGTTAGTGTGCATATCTTGGCTTCATTTCCTTGTGTTTTTCATGTTTGTTCCTTTGTCGATTGCTTTGCTGTATTTACGTATCTTATTCAGGCTGTTGTTGCTCGTTACCCTCCTGCCCCCCAGCAATGAGTAAGGGGCAACTAAGCACGTCCCAAATGCCAGTTTATTCTTCTTGGTTCTTCCGTTTCTTTCTGACCCTGATCATTGCCAGTCGTGATACCTTGTTTTCTCTGCAAAATATGTTGCATGCATGTCCTGTACGGGTAGGGTACTCAAGCAAGCTAGCCCAACAGTAAGATAGTCATGTAACATTTCATATACCTGGCTTTGTGCTGCAAACTGTGGCCGCGTAGAAATGCCTGTAGTGCAAACATGGAATCCTTGTAGATACAAGGATCGACACTTGCCAAACCTGCAATGCTCCGGCAACAAGGATTGTACCACCAGACCTTGCACATCAAATTCAATGCGTTTGTAGATTGTTCACTGAGCGTAATTTGTAGATCGTCCCGGTCCGCTGTGCCTGGAGAACCAGTTGCTTTGAAAACCTCTCTCTTTTGACTGGGAGCCAATGCCCGACCTGAAATAATGCCTTTCTGGGATAATTCCCCCGCTTACCATCATTCCAGTGAGGTCGCAGTAAGGTCACTACAATTTTCCCAGATATATGGAGGTTTCTTTAGTCAAGGGGGTACCCCAAATCATCCAAATTATAAACATGACGTCGGCCACCAGGGTTAAGCTGTGTCATTATAGTTGATGTATAAATTCTCAGACTTTCCAATTTTGGTGGTAAATTCTCTCAATTTTTGGTGGTATAACTCCCAATTTCTGCTATCAACATTATTGATGATCAACTCACCTTTTGTGTTGGTCTAACTCCAAAGTTTCCAATTTTGAAGGTTTCATACCCCCCCAAACAAATCATGGATGGTACTTGAAATATCCCCATTTCCATCCCCATGTCCGGCGCCTGCAATGCCATTGCAATCTCCTAGAAGTCAACGTGAACAGGTGGGGGAATCTGATGGTGTATGGGCCCAACTTACTGACCGATCATGTATACCGCTATTTTGATAGCAGTTTGTATGTTAAACCATATAGAAATTTCAAAGACAGTGATTTAACTCCCACATGATGAAATGCTGGTAGTTAAGCCATGAAACATGAGGATTTCACGTGGAAAAAGCACGTTTCCTTGATATTCTTCATTCCAGTGGTCGGTGGGGCCAAAAACAAAAGGGATTTCAGTGGAAAATCAGATCAGCTTGATATCATCACAGCCAAGGAGATAGCAAGTTGTGAATCACAATCATCTTACATAGGCCTTATATAGGCCTTATATATGGTAGGTACCTCCAATTTAGGATCCTAAAATGGAGGTACGTTAGTACCATATTTTTGGCCATGTTTTGCTGGGATATTCCTGAAACAATGGCCATTGACATCTTGAACAGTTCTAAAACTGGACATATTGTCAAGGCTTTTGTCGCCTTCGGTGGCAATGAGCTGGGTACACACTTGGGGCCAGACTTTGCAACTTTAGTGGAAACACATCTTGGGCAATCGACTTTGACTCACCATGAGGGTGTGCCATTCATTACCATGGCCTGACTTCTACCAGAGCCACTCCGATGGATAAATCCCGCGGGTCTGCAGCTATGGAGCTATGGATCAGGCTTCGGATGGTCCATGGGCATGATTTTTGAAGGACTCGACACTTTAAAATATCAGTGCCTATCTCGATATATGACACAGTGTCGCAATTATCAGTGATGCTAAGCCGTCTCCAAGTGAGTTTGTACAATCTCCGCGTCGAAAGTGCAAGTAACATTCGTTGACCTTGCTCTGTCGCCCTTGCTGTCCTGCTTAAACAGTAACGATCAAAGTGCAGAGTCGCAGTCGATCAGTTTCCAGCTGCGGACCACTTGAGCTGGCAGCGAGTCGGCGAAGCAAGATTTCATTAGGCCTGTCTCATCCAATGGCCATCACTTCCGGTCTACTTTTTTGGTTGTTATGGTCTACAAAGATGCACCATTTTTGACCCCGAGTTCTTATCACTCCCCCGGTCCTCATCCCTGGATGTGGGAGTGAATTGAATGGCCAGCAGCCTGCGGCGTGGAAGAGCCGCAACGGAGCTGATCAGTGTGTGTTGGTATTGATTTATAGTTATAGCAATCCTGAAAAAATAACATATGGTATATTATATTATAAACCGATGATGGTAATTTTAAAGGTCCAAATGCTGTGTTATCAAATATTTGGCATGTTAGAGAAACTGATGTTTTTCTTTTGTGTTTGGACAAGCAGGCTGAATAGTAAAATTAGGGTAACAAACATAGTTCTTTCAGTTTTTTTAATGCAAGATCAAATCCCAAGACCACATAATCACGCCTGCTGTACTTCACATATTGATAGTTGTATATGTGATAGCCCAGATTATGGTCATCTTTTGGGAAAGTAAACCGTCCCTCAATTTTGTGAGCAACCAATGGATTGCGTGACAGCAAGAAGTGTGCGAATCATCTGTCAGTCCATCATTCCATCATTCATCATCATTCATCATCATTCATCATCATTCATCATCATTCATCATCATCATCACTCATCATCATTCCAACAACATCATCATCATCATCATCACTCATCATCATTCCAACAACATCATCATCATCATCACTCATCATCATTCCAACAACATCATCATCATCACTCATCATCATTCCAACAACATCATCATCATCACTCATCATCATTCCAACAACATCATCATCATCACTCATCATCATTCCAACAACATCATCATCATCACTCATCATCATTCCAACAACATCATCATCATCACTCATCATCATTCCAACAACATCATCATCATCACTCATCATCATTCCAACAACATCATCATCATCATCATCATCACTCATCATCATTCCAACAACATCATCATCATCATCACTCATCATCATTCCAACAACATCATCATCATCATCATCATCCTCATCATCAACACATATCAACACTTACAACAGGATGGTTGTCTCACCCTCCAAGAAATTGCCATGAGTCAAAGGGGATCATCCAAAGGGATTTTTTTTGTTGACCGATTTTCAGCCCATGGTCCGGTAGGTAGGATGGGCATATCAATATCAAGATATTGGTTTATGTTGATATATGGGTTTGTAAATCAATCAAACCCATATCAACCATATTTATTGGTTTATATTGATATTGGTATATGTTATCAATATAAATCCCATGTCCATAAATCAACTTGCATAGCCGCATGAGATATTTTTTGTGTGTCCCCCCTGGAATTCATGAAACAAACATCACTATTTTCGTATTCCGTATTCTCGGTCTTTTCCCAATTTTTCCAAGACGAATCGCAATCTTTGACTACAATTTAAATCTCCATATTTTTTGTATCCATGATAGTCATGATATAGATATAAATCATTCTTAATCCATACAAACCACATAAGTTTGGGTACAGCATGGTACAGCCACAGCTGCAGCGAACAAAAACGGAAAGGGCACCTCGGGCAATCGGGGGAGTGATCTCGACCTCGGCGCGGCAGCCTGCAATTGACCTTCTGATAATTCAATATAACACATAACTATGATACCAAAAGATAATACCAAAACTATAATAGTAAATATAACTATGGATATTGTGATATTTACCCATATAACTTAATACAACTTCAATACACATATTGCGCTGGATATCCAAAAAATATAATACTAAAACTATAATAGTATAACTATGGAAAATATATAATAATAATATTGATAATACTGCATAATAGATCAATTGCAGGTAAATCAACTATTTCTATAGTTAATTGGATATATTATATAATGGAAAATAGTTGAACTAATTAACCTTCTATAGCTATGGAAAATCACCATGCCATTTTCATAGGGAAATCAACTATTTCGACTGGGCAATTTCCAATACTGTAGCTGATTTCTTAGCTGACAATATACTTAGTTTGGTATTTACATCAGTAAATTACTAATTATACTCAAAATCCCGGCAAGGGGAAATGACATGATTTCTTGCTGGGCAATTGCTCCTAAAGTTGGGCAACATATTGTTCTGCACATTCCTACTCCCAATGAGGATGATTCTCCTTACTTAGTCGATTTGAAATGAGGGAGCCAACAAGAAAGGCGGATGTCAAGCAATAGAAACGTTGGGGACTTGCTGCAATTGCCTCTACCATCAACAAACAATTCCGCTGAATGGGACATGAACCAACAGGCATTATGAACATTGGAGGAAGGACTATGAAATTGGGCTTCTGAATCAACAAACACTCGTAAACAAATGCGGACTCAGCCATGAACACATTCGAGATTATGTTCGCATTTTTTCGGCAAGTCTCAGCATTATATCCCCTTATATCACAATCCTTGTTGACATGATTTACACTTGTTAGTTTAAACGACAATATATCCCCATGTTTGGTGGGCTAAATCTTTTGCCATCCGCATTCTGAAAAATTCCCATTTCTGGACAAACCCAATAGGTCAAATCTGGTAAACCATCCGCATCCCCATTTATCTGCATAAATAAAGAAAATCATTCAACGCTCTGTAACAATTGCCCTTCAGGATAGTTACCCTTACCTGCCTTACCTTTCCAACATTTCCAGTGACAACGTGGTGGCTTGTTACAGTAACATTTATGCAGAATTTAAACATCCCTGGTGGAGCTAGTCATAACCAACTTAGCAAACGAACGCTATGGGCATCACCGCATCCAGTTGGGTTGATAGTTGGTACAGCAATGGCGTGCATTTTAATGGCTGTTCTCAAACCCATTCTCCGTTCATCTTAAACTTCAACACCCCAAATGTCTTGCTTTATCATCATTCCCCATAAACAAAAATGTGTATATATATATGTATATATACATGGTATTGGGGATTACATGGATATATAACATATATATATATATATACATATATATGTACCATGAATTGGGGATTCCCATTGTCAAACAAAGCCGAATTTGGCTGATTTTCGCTACGCTACCCTTCGAGGTGATTGTCCAGCCACGTGATCAGTGGTTACGGACCATATGATATGCTCCAGTTGTATATAAATATTTGGAATATCAAAAGAGAAAAACGATGCACACATACACATACATATATATATATGGATACATATATATATATATGGATACATATATATATATGGATACATATATATATATATGGATACATATATATATATGGATACATATATATATATATGGATTATATATAGCATACTGCATCTGCAGGTATAATGTACTCCGCTGATGTACGGGTTATACATGGCTCACACACGGGTTTACAACGACCACGATCAAAAACAATACGCATCCCCTGCATCCTCCGATGCTGGCTGCATGTTAACTCCCCAAGAGTCAAGATGCTTTTCCGTTGCCCAATGTTGTTGCTTTGATCCGGTTTCTTGCGAGTCAAATTCCAACAAAATGGGTGATTCTATCCTTGACATCCTTAACTCTTCTTGGTCAACTCCCAATCCGATCTGTCTCATATCCGCTTGGTCTCAGAGTGCCAGGCCCAACAAACGGCCCTCACAGCAGTCCTCAAATTGACCAGTGGCCTTAAGAGCTGCGGGATTTGCTACATCATTCCTCGAACATGCTGGCTTATTCAGAATATATGAGATCGTGTTTTTTTTTTAAACATTGCTATTACTAGTGGGGATTATTACTAATCATCATTGATATTGGGGATTGATATTGAGGGTACACGATAAGAACAACCAGGAATGTTGGCGGTTGATAATGATCGTTGTTATGAACATTGGGAGTGCAAAGGGGCCCACTAAATTGATATTCTCAATAAAACATTACGATTTTTGTAGTGGAAACTTGGGATATGGGATTGTAGGGAAATTGACTGGTAAGCCCTTCCCCTGATCATATCAAATCCCATACATTCTGCCAGGGTTTCGTTTGAGGGGAATCTAATATTTAGGGGAAAGGATAGCTATATATATTATATATTTTTATATATATATGGGTGAACCGTTCCTGTTTATGAACCAACAAGTTGGACTGAACGGATATAAGCAAGACACCTAGAAACCACATCAACGAAAAACGGGTTTTCAAACAGCGCCGATGGAGTGCATTTAGCTATCCAAAGAGGAGGTTGAACAGGTCAAACACACATACACACACACAGCATGTGGACTTGAGAAACTCATGTTGAGGCTGCAGAACAAAAGCAATGATTTCATAGAACAACAACTTAAAATATGAGTGTGTACTTCAAAAACTGGTCATTTCAGCCATAAAACATTGGATCTCACACCGCGTTGAGCCTATTTCTGAAGCCAGGGCAGCATTGAGGTCGCGGCCCCAACTACTTGCGCCACAGCCATGGGCCAATGGTGCAGCTGTGTGCAATGCAAAAGGCAGTTGTGCTGATGGCCCAGGATAGCCCAATATGCTCCAACATACTGGGAATGGACTGTTAGTATTTGGGCACCATCATCCCATCATCCTATGTCTATGTCATCTATGGGTTTTTCATATCTACATAGTTGAAACCAGCAGCCAAATAGTCATTTGGCTGAAGGAAGTGTTTTTAATTTAATACTGTACGCATATGGATGTGTATATATATACATACACATACTATATACACAACTACTGTACATCAATAATACTGTCTGATACGCACATCTGGTGGTTTCAGCTCCCCCAAACATATGGGATTTTTTTTAGTAACTCCAGAGATCATCATCTCACGTGAAGCCACCAGAAATGGGTCGTTTGCAGTTGATAGCTGCCAAAAAATATCACTTTGACCTCGAAGATTCTCGAAAAACATGTTTCGGGTATATCATTCATAGTTCTAAAAGAATTCTCTCATGACCAGCTAATTCTCGCGATACCAGCTCTTGACTATACCCTCTGGTAATTTAACATAGCTATTGAAAATGGCCATAGAAATAGTGAGTTTTCCCATTAAAACTGGTGGTTTTCCAGTTTTCCATAGCTATGTAAACGTTTACCAGGCCGGGTAATTTCGATCCAGGCTCCGTCTGCATGCTTCACCAAATGCTTCTCGATGTTTTCATGTGAGCTTTGGACCTAGAAGATTCGCGGGGAAGTTTCGGCGGATGTCAGCGGTGGTGATTTTTCGTGCCCCATGAAGACACCATCCGATCACCATCCTGCCTCCGAATTGCAGCCTGAAAAAATCAATGGCCAGTGGTTGGGCAAATTTTTCAATCAGGCGTCATTTTGTGAGTGATATATAATATATTGGAATATATTTCAATGCTATATCACAGTATATCCGAATAATACATCTTTAGTGTACATCTGGTTTACAGCCTCTGTTTAGTGGCCATATAGTTCAGTGGCCACGTGAGGGGTCCAACTTTGGGTCAGCAATGATTGGAGAAATCCCCATATTCCTCTGGTAATAGGTTTGTCTGAAGGGCTCTTCTAATTTGCTAGAAAATTATGTATCATATTCCCATTTGGTTAAATATCCCATTGATGGGTAATATTGATGGATAAATATCCCATTGATGGTTGATATTGATGGTTACCCTATACCCCATTTCGGACCCCATTTACACAAACATGTTTTGGACTCCAGCGCTGAACTGTAGGGAGCTTATGGCTTTAGCATATCATGGAACCCAACCGCCACAGTGGCAGTGAGGAGTATTGGTTGACCAGCAAAAGCAAACCACAGACCCATGAACCCACACCGTATCACTCTGACACGCCTGAAGTGAGCGTCAGTAAGACCATGTTAGGGGGTGGTTTTCTTTTCTAGCCCTCAAACACGATGCGGTTGCAAGGCTTTTAAACCAGGCAGGTTTACGCACCATCAACTGTTCACCCCCTTTTATCAATTGTAAATCCTACTGCGTTTTTTACAATCGATTCCAGCTTCGGATCAATTTCAGAAACAATTCAGCTCCTCCAATCACATCCCCAGTAAACATGTTGCGACTCTATCCATTCCCAGTTTGGAAGATCCCCAGATAGACCGCCCTTGCGTCGCGCTTTCTCTTGCGAAAGCTAGTCCCGGTGGAACGTGACTGGCAGATCGTCCCCGAAGCGCGCTCCGTCCCGGTGACGCCCGCCCGTTGTCGTTTTGTCATGGGAAGATGTGGATCTGAAAGTGTCAATTTATATGGGATTGATATAGCTGGATTTATATAATGGATTTAACTGGATTCTGAATGGGATTTAGTTGGATTTAAAAGGATTTTTCATGGGAAATGAATGGGACATCAAGGAGATTTCATGGGATTTAAGTTAATGGGGAACGGAATGAGATTCTTTGCTGGAGGAACTTCTGTTTGGATTTGTAGAATCATTTCCAGTTGTAGCAACAAAGCTCTGGAGAGTGGCCATTTCACATTCCACTATTCCCACTCAATTCCCGGAAGAGTAAGCTTGGGTAGCCCAACATCCACTGGTCTATCTTGATTGTCCACGTAATCAGTGGTTAATGGTGGCTACTGGTGATTAATGCTGATTAATGATGGTTAATGATGGTCAACTGTATATCTGGTTGATGGTTGAACCTACCCCTCTGAAAAATATGAATTCGTCAGTTGGGATTATGACATTCCCAATATATGGAAAAAATAAAACATGTTCCAAACCACCAACTAGAAAATGTACCATTTGCAGAACCAACCAAATCATCTTCAGCAAATCACAGTTGATTGGGCCTGCTATCCCATTTTTGCTGTGAGTTCTCCTAGCAGATTTCCGTGGCAAATTGCAGGGTCTACCGGATAAATCCGGATTTTCATCCGGATTTTCTTTAGAGGAAGCCACATTTCTGCTGGCAAAAATGGAATTTATACCCAAACAAATTCGCATTCTCACTGCTTTCATTTCCGGATTGTTGCTGTTCTGGCCTCTCCAAAGGCCGAGCGTCACCAATGATGCCTCCACTACATGTTTCCACATGGTCCGCGCATGGTTGGAGTGATTCCAGGTGTTTCTGCAGCCTTTCCAGTGGTTGGTGGTGTCAGCCCAAGAGGCTTTGCCAACATTCGCAATTTTTTCAAAGTTTTATGAGACAATGATGATCAACCCCTGCATTCTGGAGCCTTCTATTCTCACACAAAACCATGTGGTCGACAGATCATCAACTTTGGGTCACGGTGATGTTTTTAAACTCAGCATTTTGGAGAATCTCTAAGCAACTTCTCAGCTGAGTAGATTCCTCCATGTCTAGCAGGAACTAGTTCCATATCTACAGAAAAACATGATGGGAGAGATGTATGGGAGCTGTTTTTCCTGCTGAGGTTTTAGACTTGTTCACCGAAATGGGACATCTTCAACCGTAACCAATCCTTCTATCTGGCTGTGAGGCCAGCGGCTATGCGGCATGACTCATGAAGCTACCATTCACCAAATGATGTGATTATGTTTGTTTTTGTTCTTTACATCACATTTTCATCATTGCCATTCACGAGTCAAATATTGATGTTGGGGAAATCATCACCTTTCTCTGCTAGGTAAATCAGGCAAATCCAAATTTCTGCTGCTGAAATGCCAATTTTTGCTGGATTTTACCATGTTTTACTACCCAGAACCACTCTTGCCGTCGACCACCGCACGCTGACGGTCGAACGACGTCCCCGTTCTCTGCACAGAACCGGACGGCGGTGGCCACGCCGCTGCGTCCGGCGCGCGGGTGCCAGGCGGAACAGCATGAGCGAGGGCCGAAGGGAGAGACCGAAGCAAGAGGAAAAGCAGTCATGTGGTAAACTTTGTATATCTTTGTATCATTTTGTATCATGAAGCCAATCTTTTTGGAGAAAAACATAAATTATATAATCATATCTCCCAAGTATGGTGAACAAATCGACCATGGCTAATCTCTTGAAGTGGTGCAAGTGGGTATATTAGATGATTCGTGGACGGTAAATTGGCTACGGCTAAGAGGAAAGCACTCATTGAATTGACCACCTTTGGGGTTTATCCAAAGCCAGTTACTGCGGTGGTTCGGATGGATCAATGGACTAATTTTGTTGGGAAAGTTTACAGGAAGCCCGGGATTCTTGCCCCAAACATGGACGCTTTCTGCAACCAGAATCACTTTAGCCAGTGAAACAGAAAATGTGAACATGATTGAACACACCCAAGGCAAAGACTTTACCGGGCAAAATTGAGTGATTTTCAATAGTAGCGGTTTATGAAATTAAATTATATCTAGCCCAACCGGATGATTTAATTGTACTTTCATCGTTGGTTAGCAGGGATGTTTTTTCTTTGATCTTATGTTATCGTACTATATCACACAAGTATGATATATCCGGGGAATAGAAACATTTGATACATCTATGGATATATATATATAATTATATATGTATGTATATATGGATATACCAACAATGATATGGATCTCACATATACTATGGATACAAATTTAAATTTCAGAAGTAAAATGCTGAAAGGGCGTCGCACAACCAGCGATCTGCGATCTCGTTGCGGCCTGTGTCACCTACAACCGTTCCACGAACCGAAGAGTCAGGAGTCACGAGGCAATGCGTAGTGATCTACGTTTGGTGCTCCACCACATGATCAACATACAAGTAGATATAGAAAACCCAAAAAGGGTTTCCCGCAAAAAATGATCTACACAAATGGTCGGTGTGAATATTTGGGTTGATTTATGGGAGGTAACCCTGAACATATATGCGTTTATGTGCGCCACGTGATGGTTTAGTCATAGACATAGACAGTCTTAGATCTCTTGCTTCGTTTTGGTTGGCTAGGATAATATAATATACCTGTTTATTTTCAAAACATATCCAGAATATCATATTGTTGATCGTCTATCCAATGATGTCCATATCCCATTATTTCCAAAGTTCATGATCTTAAACTTCCTACATGATTGATTGTGAATATCCTTACTTTGAGGTATCTCCATTTCTGGGCAAGCCCATTTGTCACTGATGTCAAAGTCAGATTTAGACGTGACACCTGCTCCTGTATCACATCAATTTGCTTCGCCTGACACGGTCATTAATCCTCGACGCTTGTTGCTGGGAAATCCTGCATGTGTGTGAGTGCCTTGCTTCAAATGCATTTGCCAAACCTCCCCTGTATGTGTATAATATACAGATGTATATATATATAATCTGGTTGGTGGTTTCAACCCCTCTGAAAAATATGAGTTCGTCAGTTGGGATTATGACATTCCCAATATATGGAAAAAAAAATCATGTTCCAAACCACCAACCAGTAATATATATATAATATAGAGGTTGCTTAGAATGGTGGATCCCCAAACCCCCCATGGCTTTCAATACTAAACTTATCTCATTTGGGGGTAGCCTTACTTTAGGAAACCTCCATTTATATGTATCATTTTATCATTTTGTACATAGAAGATGCATATGAAAAATATACTGTACCCACCTACAAAA